AATCCCCGGCTAAATTTTCTTTTAAAACGTTCCTATGGTGGATTTCATTGATTAAAATGTAGAGCAGCCTTGCATTACTGAGATACTGCTGGAGTATTTTGCTAGTATTTTCTTCAATGCCTTTGCAACAGTATTCATGAGAAATACTGATTTGTAGTTTTCTTACATTTTAATGTCAGTGGTTAACAGTGCTGACCTTGTAAAATGAGTTTGTCCTACTGTATGGATGGAGAGTGTAAAACTGGTATAGTTTTATCCTTAGAATTTACTAGTGATAATTACTTTGTTGTATTATGTCAAAGGTCAGTCACATTGCTGATGTTCTCCTCAAGAACTGTAATACGTCCCTCATGGGAGCTGAAATGTGTTGCTTTAATTGGTGAATTGCCCAGCAGAGTTAGCAAAATGAGTTGAGTTCACCAGATTATATTTTGCCTTCATAGTATATTAGAAAAAACTATTAGCAACAATCTAGATAAAACTCTTGTTGCTCAACAGTTTACCTGGTGAGTAATGCCTAAAAGGATTAATAGATAGGTAACAAAGCAGTTAAATAACAAAAGACAAGGCAGTTAGAATGTCCTGGAGTGTTACTGTAGAAGCCCTGTGAGTTTCAGAAAATACAAAGTTCTTGTTTCCTCTGCCTCTCTCCTTTCCCTGCACCTCACACTCTTTCTTCTCTCCACCAGCAGCCAAATGGTGACTTCTCTTGCAGACAGAGCTATTTGGTCATTGGATGAGAGTGCATACACTTCCCTTCTCTCACCATTTGAGTTGGCACCTCTGCTGCTTTAGAATTAGGGCAGAGCCATGGAAGAGTATTGGCATTTGGGTATGGTATTATGCAATCTCTAAGGAAACATCCAGAGAAACCGTATGGGCTGTAACCAGGAGAAAGGAACAGGAATTGCCACTGTGGAAGCACAGACATTGGACATACTAGGCAAAGATTTTAAGTCATCTTTTAAATAGTGTATTGCTCAAAGCTAAAGGAAAGCATGTATTAAAAAGCCAACGGAGGGCTGCTTGTAGCTCAGTGGCAGAGCACTGATCCCTGTCACTGATCCCCAGCACTCACTGTTGCATAAAATTGCATAAAACAAATGATGGGGTTTATGCTAACATACTGTTACAGATTATATTGTTCTCTAGTCACACTCCTCAGATTCATTGCTTTGGGATTCAACTTGGTAACGGGTTGGCCTGCTTTGTCCCATGGTTTGGGCAGGGATATTATGGTCCAGAGCTGCAACTGCTTGTTCCTCTTGATTTTATTCATGAGAGGAAAATTTGGGCCAAGCTATGTCCTACAGAAGACAGACAAGATCAGAGCTGGAGCATGTCTCACCTTGGGACAAAGCAGGCTGAGCAGTCCATCCTAATCGTCCTTCAGAGGCACAGTAGAGCATAAGTGTCCTTGAACTCGATGGCTTTGGAGAATGTTATGCAGCATGATAGGCAATGTCTATGGGTTATTATGATGCACATATCCTATTAGTATTGATGTAGTAAAATGGTTTATGGTGAGAAAGAAGAGCAAATATGCTACCTTCTCATCAAAATGTATCATATTAAGTTAATCAAGTAAGGGCTGAAGATTTAGCTCAGTGGTTTCGCTGCCTGCTGCGCAAGCACAAGGACCTGAGTTCGATCCCCAGTAACAGTACCAAAAAAAAAAAAGTAAATTTTAACTATCTCAAAAACTACAAAGTTAAGTATTAAGACGATCACTGGGGATTTAGCTCAGTGGTTCCGCCGCCTACCTTACAAGCGCAAAGTCCGGAGTTCAATCCCCCATACCAAAAAAAAGAATTGTGAAAAGTATTAAGACGATCAACTAAAACAGTGAGTGGAAGTAAAGGAAGATGAGAAACTATACTAATTTCCTTACTGTTCCTTGGTGGGCATTAAAAGAAACTTTAACGAAATGGAGAATTAATAGAATTAAGAGTACAAGTTTTCTTTTTTGGGTGTGAAAGTTATTAAAATTAGATTGTGTGGCACATTCTGTGAATATAGTAAAAATATTAAATTGTGAACTTGAATTTAAAAGAATCAATTGTGTGCTATGAAAATACATTCAAGAAAGCTGTTGGGCTGGGGATTTAGCTCAGTGGTTTCTTTGCCTGCTGCGCAAGCGCAAGGACCCGAGTTCGATCCGCAGTACCAAGAAAGAAAAAAAAAAGCTGCTAATGCAGCCACAAAATAGGAATTAGATTCAAGAGTCAATAAAGTAGATAAACCATTCACTAATATAATCCAAAAGAAAGAGAACAAACAACGGAAAATAAGAACAGTAACACTCTATAGAAACAAAGCTAATGCACTTTTAAGCACAGGCCTCACATTTCCTTAAAGGAATTGTATCATTAAATAAAAGTAATGCACTTTCACTTAGGACCAGGAAAAGTTTTTTTTCTATTTTCTTTTCTTTTTTGGAGAGGAGGAGTACTGGGAAATGAACCCTAGGTCTTTGATACTGAGCTACATCCCAAGTGCATTTTTATTTTTCTTAGGGTTTCACGAAGTTGACAGGCTAGGCTCAAATTTGAGATCCTGTCTCAGCCTCTCAGAGTGCTGTAATTTGCAAGTGACCACCACCACACCAGGCTGTAATTATTTTTTTTAATAAAATGAGCATGAAAGATTATATCAAAACAAAAAATTGAGAAATGTTTAAAACCTTTAAGAAGCATCTATAAAAAATAAAAAGTCAAAAAAAAGTAAAGAAGTACCTAAAATGAGAAGGCAGGGCCGGGGATTTAGCTCAGTGGTTTCGCCACCTGCTGCGCAAGCACAAGTACCCGAGTTCGATCCCCGGTACCAAAAAAAAAAAAAAAGGGAAGGCAGTTTTGTAATGTTAATTGAATACATTTCTGACCAAAATCTTAAAAAGAATATGCCTGGGGATAAACTAATTAATTATTTTAAAAAGTCATGTAGTACAGAATTTTTAAATATATAATTGGAAGAATAGTTTAATGTATCACCTTGCTTCAGTAATTATCCAGGAGATGGTAAAGGAGCTCAGCAGTAGAGTACTGGGATCTATCCCCAACACCACAAAAATAAATTTTAAAAAATAATTAACAATATATGGTCAATTTTGGAGAAGCCTTGTTTTTAACACTTTTTTTTTTTTGGTACCGGGGATCAAACTCGGGTCCTTGTGCTTTCGAAGCAGGCGGTGAAACCACTGAGCTAAATCCCCAGCCCTAGAAGCCTTGTTTTTGGAGACGGCATCATGATGTAGTCCAGGTTGCCTTTGAATGTGTGGTTTTCTTGCCTTAGGGATTATAGGCACAGGCTGCCCCTTTGCTTGGACAAGTCTATTTTCAAGTTCATCTGAACAATTAACCACGAAAAAATTTAAAAGACAAATGAAGAGAAACTTTCTGTAATGGCTATCTAATAAACTTACTGTATGCTGTGTGATCTAAAAATAGAATGAATATGAAAATTTTTTAAATTGCCATTAATCCCCCTCAAAATGCTTCCCCCTCATTTTCAACATGCTTAACTCATCATTTTACTTTCTGAATCGGTTTTGGAAGTCCTCTTTTCATCAGTGTCTTTAATTGCACTGTCGTGGCTGCCTCCAACGTTTATCTTTCATGGTCGTTTTGACTTTGAGGAAGAACCAGAAATTGTATGGTTCCAGAACCACTGAATAAAGTAGAGGAAGACACATCACAATATTTTTATGAGCCTCACTTTCCGTTGGATGACAGCAGCATTCACCAGGTTTTTTTTTTTGATCACAGTTAAGGACATTCAAAAAAGACTACCAGAACTGCTTCAGAAAGTGGCAAGAACAATGGGATAAGTGTGTTCTAAGCGAGGGTGATCGATGGTAATGTGTCTTTTACTGTGATAATTCCCCCCCCCCCCGGTTCTAGGAATTGAACTCAGGACTAGCTCTTGCTAGGCAGGCACGGTGCCACTGAGCCAAATCCCCGGCCCTTTTACTTTTTACATTTTAAAAATGTAAACACAGATATTTTTATCACACTGTATAGATAGCCATGAAGTAGACAACATTTTTGTGAGCATTTAGAGTATCATAAAGGTCATTTCAAATCAGTCGAAATAAATTGTTGGGTCAAGGGGCTTCAAAACTGGGAAGAATTGAAGTTAAATAATTTACAACATATGAAAAATAAATTTCAGATAAATTAGGGGTCTAAATGTAAAATTAAGCCTATAAGAGAATTAGAAAAAATAGATTAGTTATCTAAAATGACAGATTTAATGAAACGTTTAAACTTCTATAGAACAAAATAAAGTTACAAGACAATAGGCTGAAGCATAGGCCACACATAGATCAAAATAACATGGAAGTATGATGCAGGAGTGTTCAGGGACAAAAAGTACTGCAGTTTTGAGTCACCCAAGTCAAGACATCTGGCTTTCCAGGTCACGTCCCAGAGATAGGGAGGTGATGGGTCTTGAGTGATTTTCTTATGTTTTCTTGATTTCTCTTGTTTTTTCTTTTACAACAATAGTGTGTGTTGTATTTGAATTGAAATTTTTTAAATCCCGAAACTGTAAAAAGGTTTGGGCCACCTTAGATTGTTTCCTGCTTGCGTTGTTTCCCCAGCTTTAATATAAGGAGGGAAAACCCTGGGTTTTGTTTGTTTTTTTGGCTTCCTTGAAGTTTCGCCACGATGCCTGATACAGAAGTGAATCTCTACGGATATTTAAAAAATAAAGGCGCAGGGACTGAATAAGACAGCTTGGATCCCGTAGGTGTGGAAGGAGATTTGGGCGCTTTGCATTTCCTCATGACACACCTCCTCCGATCCTCTATCCCTGGCCCTCGCGTAACTCATTGCATCCGGTCAATCCCAATTACACGCAACAATTCATTCCTGGCGCGAGAATCAGCGTGACTCCCGCGCCCGCACGTCCGGGGTGGGCATCGGAACGCCCCGCCCCGCCGCTTGTTGTGTTGTCATCACGTGGCTGGGCGGGTCCTGACGTCACGGCAGGGGAGGGACTGCGCAAGCGCAGAAAAGGGGGCGGGGGACTCGGCTTGTTGTGTTGCTGCCCGAGAACCGGAGACGGTCCTGCTGCGGCCGAAGCTCTCCCAGCCGCCCGACCATGTCGTCTCATTTAGTCGAGCCGCCGCCTCCCCTGCATAACAACAACAACAACTGCGAGGAAGGGGAACAGCCTTTGCCGCCGCCAGCCGGGCTCAACAGTGAGTGCTGGGCCGACGGGCTCGGTGGAGGAATGGGGGAGGAGGAGCTGCTCCGGCGGCCTCGCGGGGGGCGGGAGGAGACGGCGGCCCATTGGTCCAGGCCGAGGATGTCTGCGTGATTGACGGCGCCCGTCTCCAGTCAGGAAGAGGCGCTCGGGTCTTCCTCTCGGCGCGTCTGCGCCACCTCTGGGGGTCTTGGGTGCAGCCGCTGGCACCTCCGTCGAGGCCGGGCAGGGGCGGCGGAGAGGGGCTGTGGGGCAGCCCGCCGTGGCCCCTTGGCCTCAGCTTCGGGGGGCGGGCCGTGCGGGGACGGGGACGGGGACGGGGACGGTGGGGGTGGGCGGAGCGGGCCGTGCGGGGACGTGGGCCGGGCCGGGGACGTGCGGCTGGGAGGCCGGGGGATGGACGCGCTGCGGGCGGGGCGCGGGCGCGGGACGTGCGGCCGAGCAGGTGTGGGAGACCCGCCCGACCCACCCGGAGATGAGGGTCCCTGCCGGGGATCGGGCCCCAGCCTTCTAGTTACGTTCCTTTGTTGCCCCATGCTGGTCAGGAAAATCCATTTGGCAACTCAGTGCTTACTTGAGTCGCGAGTGAAGGTGAAAAGGCTTCTCCCCTTTTTAAGTAAATTTTTTTTTTCTTGAATATCCCCAAGTTCTTGAAATAATTTCCCTTTTTTAAAACGATGGGATCGCGTGCCCAGTAAACCTGTTTAAGAACAGCTGCATGCACCACCCAGCGTGGCACCCATCACGGAGTCTGGGCAGTGAATTTTCCTAAACAATTAAAAACATACCACCCTGGCCTTTGAAAGTTCCTGAGCAGTATGGAGTGACAACCAGCAGCGATTGCTTTGCATAACCTGGTGCTCTTACAGCTTGTCCTAAGACTCCTGGTTGTCGTGAGCGCCTGGTCTTATTGGAAAGGTTCTTGCCTAACCTTTCTTTAATTCATCTCTTATGAAAGTGTGAGTGGGGGCAGTCACCATATGGCCAGATGAAATTGTTTAAAAAGGATCAGGATGCTGAAAGATCTTGCAGTTTCTTTCGTAAGAGGAGGTTACTTCCAGCACCGGCCTCAGCATTTTAGAGAAGAGTTCCTTTCTTCCCAGGGTGGGGTTAGGACTTGGACATTTTTACCTGTTTCCGTTGTTTATTGTCGCTGCTCCATCTTTTGATGGACTACTCTTAAATATTGACCTTTTTTTTTAAACCTTTAAGAGTCTTGTGTTTCAGAGTGTAGGATTTTTATACTATTTCCCACAGAAACGCAGATGGATGTGTCTTTTGTATCATATTAAAACGGAATAATAAATTACCTGTTTTAAAAATTTTATTTTTACCATACTCTTCTTGAAAACATGGATTTCGGGGGATTTAGCTCAGTGGTGCCTTTGCCTGCCTCGCAAGCGCAAGGTCCCAAGTTCAATCCCTGGTACCAAAAAAAAGAAAAAGAAAACGTGGATTACACGATGAGAAGAGACCTTAGAGACCGTGGTGTACCTCGGTAAAGAAGTAGGTATAGAGTCAGGGGTCTTGGGCAAGTCGTAGCTGACTGGGACCCAGAGCCCTGTTCCCACTTTTCAGCCAGTCTGGGGTTCTTTCCAGGATCCTTTTTACTTATTTTTTTTTTTTTTTTGGTACCGGGGATCGAACTTGGGACCTTGCGCTTGCGAGGCAGGCGCCGGAACCACTGAGCTAAATCCCCAGCCCCCAGGATCCTTTTTAATGGGCCTGATTATGTGTGTGTATCATCTTTCAGTATGTTATTCACTGTGGAGAAGGGCCCAGCCTATCTAATACTCTGTTTCTTAGTTGTGCTTAGTGTTTTCTTCCTTGTCAGGTACGTAGTCAGTATGTGTATATACTGAAAAGGGATTTATATTTTTCTGTGACCCTTCACCAACAACAAATAAAGATTAAACTATATGTAATTGTTTATCTTTTGATAAATCTTTCTGGGGATTGAACCAGGGGCCTTTGCACTGAACTACATCCCCACCCCCTTGTTATTTTGAGATCAGGTCTCACTTAGTAAGTTGCCCAGGCTTGGCTCAAACATAGGATTCTCCTGTCTCAGCTTCTCAGACCCTTGGGCTGAGAAGAATGCGCCACCACACCCAGCTTGTGATTGTTTATCTTGTATCTGACAGAACTGTGAAGTGTTTGATGTCTTCGGCCAGTCATTTTCTGCCACGTTCTTATTAGCTCTTACGGAAGTGGAAGAACATGCAGCCTGCACGTGATACCAGATGCTGCTTTTGGAAATCTGCTCTATAGAAAGTATTTTATTTAAATGACTGAAAAGCTCTTAGATAATGCCGTACTTAATTACTTGTCTTGCCTCTACTTTATTTGCTTTTTAGCTCATTATACGGCAGTGGACTGAACAAGAGAGCCTTGACTCTTTCAAATGACTTAGGCACTGGGCAGAAAACTTAACTCAGGGATCTAATACCATCTGAATTGCTGATAAGTCCAGAGACTGTTGGGTAACATTGCACAACTGGAAATAGGAGATGAATTCATGTACACTAGCCCTGGTTTAGGATTTTATCTCTAATTTAGGAGTCAAAGCAGAATCTTGATTTTTTTTTTTTTTTAGCCAGGGTCTTGCTGTGTAGTTCAGGCTGGCCCTGAATTCACCATGTAGCCCAGGCTGACCTTGAACTCATGGCTATCCTGCCTCAGCTTCCCAAGAGCTAGAATTACAGGCATGGGCCACCATGCCTGGCCCCCGATTCTTTTGGTACCGGGGATCGAACTCGGGTCCTTGCGCTTGCACAGCAGGCGGTGAAACCACTGAGCTAAATCCCCGCCCTGGCCCCCAATTCTTAATAATAAATTATTAAAATATTTGAAGTGTGAAGACTTTCTCTGATATCTTTTTAGTTTCCCACTCTAAGGGCAGTATTTACTTTCATTACAAATTAGCAGGCAGGGCAGACATTCATTTTCCAAAGTTAAAAGGATGTTTCCAGTTTTGTTTATTTATTTTTGCCTCAGCCTCCCGAGTGCTGGGATTACAGGTATGCACCACCACATCTGGCTCCAGTTTTACCTTTTTTTTTTTTTTGGTACCAGGGATCGAACTCAGGTCCTTGCGCTTGCGCAGCATCGAAACCACTGAGCTAAATCACTGGCCCTCCAGTTTTATTCTTGAAAACTATCAAGTTTCTTAGTATTTGGATAACACATTTATGTCTTGTGATTTTAGTGGGTCATATAAGAAGATCAGGGTGCTTGATGTGGGAAGTACAGGCTTCTCTTTCCTTTTTAAAGCTCTTCACCCACAATGTTCTTGCTTCCCCATTGTGGCAGAAGGGCTCTTGCGGTAGACACATGAAATGCCACTGCCTTGTAATAGTGTTTTGAATAAACAAGTCACCAGTTGTAAGCACCCACTTGGCCTAGAAAAGTCAACATCCAGTTAGAAGTCCGCCCGTGACTGGTGTAGGTCTGGTCTGGATTCCAGCATCAGGTCCCTGAAACAAGCAGACAAGAGACTATGAGGAAAGAAAGTAAACAACAGTGAACTGTGCCTCCTCGGTGAGGTACCAGTTACACACAGAGCCTTGAAACGCTGGGGGGGGGGGCTCTCTCCCCAGTACCCCAAGATAAACTGGTGATTATAAAACTGTGGCATCTGCAGGATACAAGTATGACATGATTGTAACTGTTGGACCAGTTCCTCTTAGCCATTCTCAAGGACTCAAGACTAGAAAGTATGTCACTGTGTATGTGTACCCGGTGGCATAAAGGAGCAGCTTCCAGCTTAGCTTGTAAACCGTCTTTTAAAATGACAAAGTTTCCAGCTCTTGTTTTAAGGCTTATTAGGAAGAGAGTTCACTGGGAGCTTGTTTTCTGCTTGTCTTGCTTGGGCAGCACAGTCCTCATATCTTGCCTTGTTTTCTTCCAGGTGAAAAGGGGGCTTTGTGAGGATTGGTAGAGCTAGAACTCGAAGTCCCTAGGCCGTCAGTCCCGAGCAAATTAGGTGATGGGGAAGAGGTGTGTGTGGTTCATCTGTTGAGAAAGACAGATGTGTGTTACTCAAGACAAGGCTGATGTGTAGACTCTTAGGGTCGTGTACATAACACTCTGTGGGGTTCGTATCTCCCTCGATGATGCTTCTGGAAGAAAATCACCGAGTTAAAGGAAATTACATTTTTAAGGCTCCTGATACATATTGCTGAGTTATCCTACAGGATGTTCTTTTTTTTTTTTTTTTTTTTTTTTGTACCGGGGATTGAACTCGGGACTTTGTGCTTTCGAGGCAGGCAGCGGCACCACTGAGCTAAATCCCCAGCCCAACCCAGGATGTTCCTTGAAGCCCTGGCAAACTGTTGCCATTGAATAATGGGTAAGGTGTGAGGAGAACAGCTCAGTTGCTTAGAAGAATAAATACCCACGTCTCTGAATTTTAGGTGAAAACACTACTTACCGAAACATCTGCAGTACAATTCCATTTGTTTATAAAAAACAAAAGCAAAAAAAATATTTCAACAACTGTGTTTGAAAAAATTGCCGAAGTCTCTATGTGGAACCATTTTAAAGTGATTTCCTTTGGGAGTAAGGATGGGAAGTTAGTGAGAGAGGAACTATTAATTTTTAACTTTATGTATTGATGTTTATGTTTTCACAGAACACATTTTTACAACCAGAAATGATTTTTTAAATATATAAAATGTAGTTACCGTAGTAGCTAACACATTGTTAGCATGTCCTGGGGATCTTTCTTACTTTTCTGTATTTACTCACTTTATCTTTCTAACGACTCTGTGAGGCAGATAGAGCTCTTATCCTTGCTTCACAGCTGAGGAAACTGAGACAAAGAGGTGAACTAGTGCAGAGTGTAACAACTGTACGTAATAGAGGTAATGACTTGCCAATATTTGCCAGATAAAAATGGTCTGCCAAGCCAGGTGCGGTGGCAGAGACTTGTAATCCCAGCCCCGGGGAGGCTGAAGCAGAAGATCAGGAGTTCAGGGTCAGCCTGAGCAACTAGGCGAGGCCTCATCTGGCAACAGGAGAGGTCTGCCTCAGGTAGAAAGGCTGTCTCCTTGCTTCAAGGCGCTGGGGCCCTGAGGGTCATTCTTATCCAGCCTTTCTAGGCATGTCTTCTCAAATTCCTAAAACAAATGTTAGGTTAATAATTGCTTTTTGGGGGGCCAGGCATGCAGTTCAGTGGCACCAAGCCTGCCTGGCAAGTGCAAGGTCCTGAGTTCGATCCCCAGTATCCAAAAAAAAAAAAAAAAATTGCTTGTTTGTTTTATGTTTTGTTTTGCTGCACTAAGATTGAACCCCATGGCCTTCAGACTGAGCTACATCCTGAGCTCTTAACGTTTTTCTTCATTTTTTTTTCTGAGTCTGAGTTTCAGTAAGTTACCAGGTTGCCCAAGCTGGGCTTAAACTTAGGATCTTCCTACCTTAGCCTCCCAGAGTTCTAGGGTTACAGACCTGCACACCACTTTGCTTGTGTGTTTTTAATGCAGAAAATAGAATTTACCGTATCTACTGGTTTAGAAGTCCTTCAGAAAAGCAAAGACCAGACCAGCTGGCATTATTAGCGACTCTTTCCCTCTGATCAGACACTTCAGGTGCACGTTATATTTTAGGGAAGACTGGCTTCCACAGGCCCACCTGGGACCCTCGGGTCTTCGTTCTGCTGTACCAGGGCAGCCTTGGGAGTTATTTTACTCACGAGGTTCTGTACAAGAAGTGGTCCCATTGGTTTCAAAAGAAGTTTGAAAATCCTGGAAGCAGTGGGAGTAGAAAAAGAAAATTTACTATATAATACTCCCCTCCATTCAGATATTTTGCAGAGCTGTGAATTTAAGGATGCTTTTGGCATAGTTCTTACACAGTCCAGAGCCCTCCAAGTATTTAAAGTGTCTTGAATGTTAGCTCTGTCCTGGCTTTGCCGGTTGTATTTCTTAGCAAATTTGCATTTGTATTGCATTTGTTTTGCTGGTTCTATTTGTTGTTTGTGCGTTTTCTCTCCTCTGTGTCCTTGACCAGTGGGTGACAATGAGGTGGTGCAGCTGCCCCACACCTGCATTGTCTGGCAGCACTGGCCTGAGGAGCTGCTGGTGACGGTGGAACAGGACAGCCCCTGGGGCTGCCCTTGTTGGAGAGGACAGGATTGAGGTATCAGCAAGCCTGGTTCTGAGAACGCACTTGGGTGGCCTCTCCCAGGCAGTGTGTCAGTGAGCGCCTCCCGCCTGCCAGGCACTGCTGTGACTGGCTGGTCCTCCAGGCTGCCCTGGGAAGCAAGCCAGCATGAAACGGAGGCACAGGTCACAACGACGGAGGGGAAGCCACGGGGTGGGAGTCCAGCCAGTTGTGCTTGGAGCTTCTCAGTTTTGTGCAGCCCTCGCCCAGGAAGGTGTGTTTTCAGGGCTGAGCCGGTTTTGATGGCAATTCTGACCGACTGTGGGAACCCCTCAGTCCAGCTGGCTCTCAAGCTCCGAGTGTAGAGAAATGGTCCGACCAAGCTGCCTGGGTACATTTTCTCAAACCAAATTTATTGTAAACAAGGAAATTATGAAAAAAAAGTATAATTACATCTCTTTGTTGTGGAGTTGGCTTAGTAGCTACTGTTACCAGCTCTTAATAAAATTCAAGCTCCATTGCCGCCTGCTGCGCAAGCACAAGGACCCGAGTTTGATCCCCAGTACCAAAAACAAACAAACAAAAAAAACCTTCAAGCTCCAGCATCCTTCAGCAAACCCTTTGAGCCGGTAAGAATTGTCAAGATTTGTGCGCACTGCCTGTGCCCACCCCCTTTCCCTGCATCCCCACCCCTTTTGAGTGTTGGCCCCAAAAGCTGCCTTCTGTGGCCCATGTGTAGCGGCTTCTCCCTCCCAACCAACAGGGCTTGATACAAACCCAAGGAAGTGGGACCTCATAGGCAAGGAAGGAGAAGAAACAAGTTCACAAAGGTATGTTCAGTGAGTGAAAAGGAGGAAGAGTGAGGTGCAAAGGGAAGGAATAAAACAAGATGTGGAGCAGCGCTAAACCCTTTCCTCCAGAATTTTTAGCATTGTCACCTGACTTTGTGAAGAGCCAGTTGCATTAACTTTATTATGCTCTGGGTTTGTGCATTGCTACTGGGGGTTGAACTGGGGACCTTGCATTTGTGAGGCAGGTGCTGTGCCCCTGAGCTAAATCCCCAGCCCCAGAAATTGAAATGTTATGGTTGTATTTAGGTGTCCTCTGGGATAACCTTTGGGATACACTTACTTGTTAATGTGTTTAGATGAACTTTGTGGTGTTTCTAAGTCATGTTCGTTTAATTTGCGGAGCAGATACAGCTACGTGGCTGAGGTAGACTATTGACTGTGCATTAAGTGTGTGTAAATCTAAAATATTAAAGGCAAGTAGCCTGTCTAGTAATAAAGTATAAAGTTCCTTTTATGAAAGCAGCCTCAGGTTTTTTTGTTGTTTTTTTGGTACCAGGGATCAAACTTGGGTCTTTGGGTTTGTGAGGCAGGCAGCAGCAGCCTCAGTTTTTAGTAAACCATTGATTATATATAAACTGATCATTAAGCAGAGAGAAAATTGACTTAAAGACACTTTCTAAAAAGTTTTAGATTCCAGCTTCTAGATTGGTTGATTGCGTGAGCTGCCTCAGGACTCCGAATACTGCTCCTTGTTTATTTCCCGTAGCACACTTGCTCCAGCTTCCAGGCGAGTCAGAGCACTTATCTGAGTTCCCCATACTGACATCTGTGTACACATGACAGATTTCAGTCCTGCTCTGGTTAATTTATCTGACCCGCCCAACAGGTTCCTGGGTGGAGCTTCCCATGAACAGCAGCAATGGCAATGATAATGCCAACGGGAAGAATGGGGGCCTGGAGCACGTCCCCTCCTCGTCCTCCATCCACAACGGAGACATGGAGAAGATCCTTCTGGACGCGCAGCACGAGTCGGGACAGAGCAGTCCCAGAGGCAGTTCTCACTGTGACAGGTGAGTGAGACCCGGGGTTTGGCGTGATCCAGGGGACATGTGGGCTCCGGGGCTAATCCACAGGAGAAAATGCTGCTCTGCCAGAATCTTCATGTAGCAGAATACACCTCCTGATTGATTGCAACTCGTGTATTCAGATCAGGCAGCTAATTGACAGGCATTTAAGTACCCACTGTTTTTCCTCAGATGAAGTCATTTTCCTCACTCAGATCGTATTATTTTAGGTGTTTTATCAGTTTAAAAGTCAGTGGTATAAATGTACATGTGTAGAATTTGTCTTTCCCTGTTTTCCTGTGTCACTGACCCTATCTCCCGGGTCAGCTGTGCCTGAATTGCAGTTTCCTCTTCGGACATCTGTGTCCCGTGTAGGCGGCGAGGCTTCCAGAGGCAAGGGTCAGCTTTCCACCGCCTCCCACCCATCACGGTGTGCAGCTATGAGCAGCAGGCAGGCGGTGTTGAGCTCCTGGAGCCGAGAGCTGATTCACATGCTGTACTGGCACAGTGCAAGTCTGTAAAGATAATTCATTTTGAAGGCCATTGCCTTTCCTTAGAAGAAGTTGTTTTGTTTTGTTTTTTCTCAAATGCTGTGGATTAAATACAAGGCCTTTGCACTTTGCACTGAGCTACATCTCCAACCTTTTTTTTAATTTTGAGGTAGTGTCTCACTAGGTTGCTGAGTTGCCTAGGCTGGGCTTAAACCTGTGACCCTCTTGCTTCAGCCTCCCAGAGCGCTGGTATTACACATGTGCACCACCATGCCTGACTCCCCGGGGAATTTTTTTTTTTTTTTTGACTAAAAGAAAGTAATTCTACTAAGATTTGCTTATGTGACAGAGTAAGAAATCGGAGACATGTATCTGTAGAATGAAAGAAGCAGTTCATTAAATTATTTTCCAGTCTAACCTTTTCTTGTTTTCCAGAGAGACTAGGTATTGAATGACACTTAAAAATTCTTAGTGCGGTTGGGTGTGGTAGTGCAGAGCTACAATTCCAGCTACTTGGGAGGTTGAAATGGGAGGATTGCAAATTTGAGGCCAGCCTGGGCAACTTGGAAAGACTCTGTCTCAAAATAAAAATAAAGAGCTAGGGATGTAGCTCAGTGGTAGAGCACCCCTGGGTCAACCTACAGCACTGGGGGAAACAATTTTAGTGCAGTGACTGGCATGCTGTTGCATTATGATCTTCAGGTTGGTTCTGTTAACTGATATTAAGCATGCATACACTCAAGGGAAGGAAGAGTAAGGGAACAGTTAAAAAAATAGAAACAGTAACTATGTGCAGAGTACAGAATTATGGGTACTGCTTAATATTTTTATAGTTCGTAAAAATGGTGCCTATAGTATATATAGTCCTTACCAGAGAAAGTGAAGGGAGGGGGAGGGGCCACGTCATCCTGGACCTTCTCTTGCCTTGTGGGCCGCTGAAACTAGGAGGAAGGCAGCCAGGGGACTGGTTTGTGGGCCATGTGACACACCCACACCCCTGCTGTCCCTGCGTCATCTCTAAGCTGGCCCTGTGCTTAGAGCCTGGGGGTGGCCCTTGATGTAAGCAGAACCAAGCAGATGGTGAGCTTGCCGTTGCTTCCAGTAGTGGCAGCATTAGCCTGCCTTCCAAGTGAAGATTTAGGTTATGGAACTTGATGAAGGATTTCTTAAGTTTTCGGTTGCAGACACTCAAGTGTACATCCGTGAGCCTGTGGTTCTTGTGACGAAGAGAAGGTGGCACCTGCTCACCGTGTGGTCCTCTGGTGTCCTTTGCAGCCGCTCCTACACATGTGATGGAGTACGAATCTGCCTTCCTAGGGTGCTGTCTCCCTCTAGGTTTCTGAATTTGTGGAAAGAGCCATGGCTCATGCTTTCGAACACTTTCTTATTCCTTAGCTCGCCTACTTCCAGAGGAGGCCTGGAACTCCACTCAGTAACGCTCTCCTGGGGTTTCTGAGTTACGTACTATATGGTTTAGAGATGTCCTGAACATTCATGTCATTTGAGTGGACATACTCTGCTACATATGAAGCTGTTACAGTGTTTCTTATAGGTGCAAGAGTTTTAGGGTGGTTGGATATTTTCAATTTAAAAATTATTTCATAGATTTATTTTTGTCACTGCAGTGGTTGTTAGAAAATGACTCCTATATGTTTTGCTTTGTGTTCCACGTAATTATAAAGATTGCCCATTAAATTAATGCAGGGAGGATTTTTGTTTTTTTTTCTTCCAGTACCGGGGATGGAACTCCGGTCCTTGTGCTTTCAGGGCAGGCAGCGGAACCACTGAGCTACATCCCCAGCCCCTGTAGGGAGCTTTTATTAAAAATAGCAAGGTGGGCCAGGAATGTAGCTCAGTGGTGCCAGCGCCTGCCTGGCAAATACGAGGTACTGAGTTCGATCTCCTGGTACCAGAAAAAAAAAAATAGCAAGGTGCAAGCCAAGTGTGGTTGTGCACGCCTGTAATCCCAGTGCCCTAGGACGCAGAGGCAGGAGGGTTGCAAGTTCAAGTCCTCTCTCAAAAAAGGGGGAGGAGTTTGGGGCTCAGTCCTCAGTACTACCAAAAGAAGCCCTAAGAAGGGCCCGGGCCATCCCTAAAGCTTCTTGGGCTGTCAGGGCAGAGCAGAGACATGGGAATGTTTCCAGGTGCCCAGCTTACGCAGGAGGGGCCAGGGTGGAAGCCCTGTCACTTTGTGGGTCATCGGGAAGAGTGAGCAGGGTCAGAACAGTGGGCGGGATGTGTGGGGGAGGGTGGTGCTCTGCGGACCCTGACCTGGGCACAGCAGTGCGAGGCAGCCCTACGTTAAGGCCAGCTGCACACGAACAAGCACAGAGACAGGAAACTGGGGTTGGAAAGTGCCTCATTCTGGTGCCAGACCAGGGCGTGTCCAGCGGTTCTAGGTGCTCGCTGTCCCGTCCAAAGAATTGTCTGGGACCGTTGATGTATCACCTCACTGGCTGCATCAGTGCTCGCTACAGAAACAGATTTCATGGAAGACATACAAATATGTAGGAACGGACAAGGTGGGCTGATGATGGCGCCTTGCAGAGTGAAGTGCAGAAGGGCTGTGTGTGCGCTGGAGACCCGAAGGCCGGGAGCCCTCTGTAGTGTCCTGTGTGAGTCCATACAGGAGGCCGAAGGGCCTGCGCTGGAAGGCAGGAGATGCTGTCCAAGGTGAAGGTGAGGAGGGGCTCCTCCCCAGAAACAGAAGCGAGCCGAGCCATCCTTCTTTCCCTCTTGCTCCACTCAGGCAGCGGGGCGGTTGGGTGGTGTCACTCACGCCACAAGTGGGTCTTCTGTCTTCAGCAGATCCCTTCAGCCACACCCAGAACTATGCTGTTCCAGTTCAGTTGGGTGTTTCCTACTCGATTCCACACAGTTAACAATCACAGTTGATAAACTTGAAGACGTAACATTTACTTAAAGGAAGAGAAGTGAAGAAGCAGTGAAGCTCGAAAAGAATGGAAATGAAGGTGTGTCCTGCACCAGGCCAGGCTGGCAAGAGCGCAGCAGGGTCCTGAGGTCCTGAGGTCCTGGATGCCGTCGTCTTTATCTTCTCTCCAAGTCAGACCCCACAGTCAGGAGCCGACTGCGCATGTGTCCTGGGGGCCAGTGTCCCCTGATTGACAGCCTCTGCCATGCCCTAATCTCCTCTTTAGTTCTGGTTTCCTGTGCTGTAGCCTGAAGTTTCTAGTTCAAGAGAAAATTTTTCTAAACACATGTGATGTGTTAGATATTACACCATCTTTTCCCTTTTCCTGGTCCCAGTTACCAGTCTCCCAGGCCGCCTCAGTGATTAATTTCTGGTGCTCTTTGTTTTTGAGTCCGTCTCACCAAATCTCAGTATATTCATGTGCTGTATGCTCTTGGTAATGTCCTTAGTGTCCATTCCTCTGAGCAGGATGAGCTCCGTGTATTTTTCAGCTTTATTTTAGCTACAGAAAAGGACACCATATGTGTAGTGAAACATCCATTGATTTGCTGTTTACACAAGGAATGACTGATAAATGAAGAAAAGAGCTCAGCACGTTAGATTAGTTTATCTTACCAAATATAGTTTGGGAGTTTATCTGAATTTTCAGGGCTACCAGCAATTGAACTTGTGGGCTCAGGCCCGCTAGGCAAGCACTGCACCACTGAGCAGCGTCCCCGATCCTATCTGAATTTTTGTAAATCTGGGAATATGTTTTGTACTATCACAGTGGTTTTATACTCAGATACAGCTTCATTTAACTCACTCTGAAATATCTCAGGGCATATATTTATGAGATAAATAGAATAATGGTTCTCTAAGTTTTGAGTCTCCATTCTCTATTACAATCTAAATATGAGGTACTTCAGAGAGGTTTTATGGTGGTGTTGGATGTTTGCTATATTAAGATTAAACTGGGCTTGGGGTTGTAGCTCTGAGACAGGGTGTGCCTGAGGGCCTGGATCAGTCCCCAGCATCACCCTCCCCCACAGGAAACAAAAACAAAACTTAAATCTGGCCTGGTGGCTGTGATCGCAGCTACTCAGAAGGCTGACATAGCAGGATCATAAAGTTTGAGGCCAGTCTGAGCCCCACTCAGCAAGACTTTATCTCAAAAAGGGCTCGGACACAGCCCAGTGCCAAAGTGTTTGTCTAGCAGATGTGAGGCCCTGGGTTCATTCCCCAGTACCACACACAAAAAAATCTGGAGTATTTATTCATTCAAAAATAGTAAGCTCAGGGCCGAGGATTTAGCTCAGTGGTTCCAGCGCCTGCCATGCAGGCACAAGGTTCTGAGTTCGATCCCTGGTACCAAAAACAATATTTTTGTTTATTATTATTTATAAGCTCATTACAATGTAAGTACTCTTTTAATGAAAAATAACTATTTGTCATAACCAAAAAAAAAAAAGAATTTGGAAGAAATAACGGCAGTAGCTTTCATTTTTGCAACTCTGTTTAGTGGAGAGTTAATAGCTTAATAGAAAATAGCTGAGTTCTCATCCACTTTTATGTTCAGTTTGTTGTAATACCATACATCATCTAGCCTTTGGAACATTCCACTATACACTCATGGGAGAATGGCTGAGAAGGGAAATAAATCCTGTTAGCATTATGAAAGCAATTTGAACCTTGTAGACACTGAACTAGTCCTTGAGAAATGCTCTTCACACTTGGAGAATTGCTGGAGGTGAGTGGTTTAATGATGAAAGAATGTTGAGGAAAAACATCTCCACGGTTTTGTTGCCTCTATTGGAAAAGAGTAAAACAAAAAAATGTGAGCCCTGTGTCTTTAGACGATCTTTTCTTAGCAGTTGTACTGTTGTAAAGGAATTCAGCACTGACAAAGTCTAGAACATTTTGTAAGAGTGCTCCATTTCATTTGGCCACTTACTGTCACCTAAAATTTGCTTACATGATCTATTTTTTGAATTTACTGCTTTTTCAAAGCTATCATTCTATAGCTTAATTTTCTAATTTCCTGCACAGGCTACTTTATTTGACAGAAAGTGTTCTTTGTCTCCTAGCCCTTCGCCACAAGAAGACGGGCAGATCATGTTCGACGTGGAGATGCACACCAGCAGGGACCACAGCTCCCAGGTGAGTATCTGCTGCATGGAAGCAGGGGCTAGGGGCAGGTCCTCTGCTCATGTGGTTGTCAGGAATCTGTTACGAAAGAAGACTTAATCTGTTTCAGGGCAAGGCTCCTGTGGGAAGTCTGACTGCACTTGTTCAATCTCTGGTGATGTCTGTCATTTGGCGTTTGCAGTGAGCTGTAGCTAAAGCAGTGTAATTTGAAACTCAAGTTGGTTAATTTCTGATTGTTGGATTTGTTTAGGCCAATATAGTTCTTGTGCTGCTTTTTTTTTTTTTTTTGGTACCGGGGCTCGAACTCGGGTCCTTGCACTTGCGCAGCAGGCGGCGAAACCACTGAGCTAAATCCCCAGCCCTAGTTGTGCTTCTTTACAACTGTGGATTTGGGCCATTTTTCTCTCAAAGAGTTGGAATGTTCTTGTTGATAATGTGTCATCCTAGTATGTAGGTTAGGTTGGGACCAGGTATGAAAACCTTGACTGTATCTGAAATCAAAGCAATGACTTAAAAAGCTAGAGATAAAAATTCATCTAACTCAGCTGAATTCCTTGAATTAGCTAAAGAAGATAAATGTAGGTCAGTAGGAGTTGACATTGTCAGGAGTGTAGGTGGGTGCGATTTTGAAATCTTACAAAGGTTTGCTTTACAAAACTTAAAGGTGGGTTTGTATAGGGTTGTTGCTAATGATTCAGGGTGTGCTTGGCCAGCCCGTAGCTGCTGATGTGTCAGACCCTGCACGTGTATTGCAGAATGAGTTCTCGAGGGCAAGAACCATTGCCTTTCTCTCCTGGGCTGAGGGGCTTAAAAATATTGCATGAATGTTTACATAAGTTGACCAGAAAACTTGCTGAGCAGGGCATCAAGGTGCACAGCTGCAATCCTAGTGCTTGGGAGGCTGAGGCAAGGAGGTCAAGGCCAGTCATTACCTCACAGGTCTTGTCTCCAGCCAGCCAGCCAAGCAGAATGTATATAGGAACCGTCTGCCAAAAAGGTGTATATGTCAGAAAAGAAGAGGTGGTGTAACTACTTTAATGTTGAATTTATTGAGACATCTTGAGATAATACAAGTTACCTTTGGTCTCTGTAATTGCAAGAGGTGCTCAGAGTGGTGGCCATGAGCTTCCAGACATTTATGGTGAACTGCTGAAGTGTGTATACCCGTTTTGGTGGACTCCATATATATATATGAAGAAAGAAAAAAAAACTTGTTTTGCGGTGTTCTCTTGGTCCACAGTCCTGGGTTCCTTTGCCCTAGAAACATTTTTCCAGTATTCTCTTTTGGAATGCAGCACAGTTTCTCAGTACTTTGGACTGTGGCTCAGTTTTTACTCTTCTCTGAAAGCCAAACATCTGTACATCGAACACTAGCTTATTTTATCTTGTAGGGATGCTTGTAATGGCAAGGCTCTCATGTGGGAAGACAGTCTGGCTGGAATTGTTGAATCAGTGGCTGATGTTTGTCAGTTTGGTCATGAGCAGTAAGCTAAATAAAAGTATGTAAACTCTTCATGACAAAAATGTACCAAGCATCCAAGAGAGAATATTCTTAGGTGTAGTCTTTCCTGAAAGATGTCTTCAGTCTGTATTAGCTTGCATACAGACAGGTTGAAGTCTGCATTAACGTTTTCCAAAATGTGCCTGAGGAATGTGCTCTCAGTGAAAAGCTCCATGAGAAAGTTCCGAAGTCAAATATGTGGAAAATATTGTAGTCCTGGGTCCTACCAGCAGGTCACATTGAGTAGTGCCTCTGAAACCCCTGCAGCAGTCTGTTTTCGTAAACCAGGTGACCACACCTCCCTCTGTACACCGTGGCTGGTACAGTGGAGGTGTATGAACAGCCTTCACCATCAGAGCGCTTCTCATGGATTCTAGACTGAGTGCTCTACTCTAGAATTCCAGATTCCTGGAATTAGTGAAATTCCGGAGAAAAGTATAAGATTTTTAGCATTTTTGTCAGATTGTGGTAGGATTACCAGTATGTTCCCTATTCAGAAACAAGGACTTGAAGGAAATCGCTGTTGCCAAGCAGAGGATGAGCCATGGACCCGCACCCGTCGGTTCAGACACAGGCCAGTGTTGGTGAGAGCAGCCTGGCTCCTTTAAGAAACCTCTCTGTCAAGTAGGAATTAAAGCAAGGAAGATAACAATAGTATTTCTTATCTAAACTTTCAAAAAGCCTTTTATACTTTTTTTTTTTTTTGGATAAACAAGTTTTATTTGTAAATTTAGTCAAAATACCTTTTATACTTTTTTTAAACTGAAGAAATAATTTAAAAATTTGGACCTTTGATGCTTTTGCTACCATGTGGGCACCATGAACTATTCTCCTCTGCAGTGCCCCTCTGCCAAGCCCCCTACGTTGGAGCCAGCTGATTATGGACTGAAACCTCCACAAACCTTGAGCTTTCGTTCTTTAACTTTGAGTTTCAGGTATTTTGTCTCAGCAACAAGAAAAGTAACTAACACAGAATTTGGCACCAGAGGAGCAGAGTCATTTCTGTAACTATACTTGACCATGTGGTTCATGAGCCTTCAGGACTGGCTTGTGGGAAGAGTTTGGGAAGGTTCAGAGGTGCTGCCCGAAAAAGGGCTGGAATACCTTAGGCTGTACTTGATGGGACATTTTGGTCAGAGCTCAGAAGACCAGAAGGCTGATAGAAATCCCATGGGTGAAGTCCAGACTGGTGAGGTTTCTCCTGGGAAGAAGGGCTGCATTGGCTGTTGGACTCCAGACAGTATGTGTTATACCTTGACAGAAAGTTTGTCTGGATTCTGCTTGTGTCCAGAGACTGCCTGAAACTGAGATTAAGCTGACAGAAGAAATTTCAAGGCAGTTGAATGTTGAGGCAGTCGCATGGCTACTGTTGGGGCCTTTTTGCCAGATCTATGTTGAGAATCAAGAGCAAAGAGCTCATCAGAATGATTTAAAATGTTTTGAGTTTGACCAGAAAGGAAGCTCTAGTGAATCTGGGGACTGCAGAGATAAAGCGGAGGAGATCTTGACTGCTGAGAAGGAATAAGAAAATAGAAAAGATGGCCAGAGGGCATCTCAAGAAGCAGCAGGACTCCACACTTTGTAACCTCAAAATTGCAAGTAAAAAACTTTAGTTTGAGACCAGAGCCCCAGAACACCATGTTCCAAAATGGTGGTGGCCTAGAGTTTTGTTCCTCGGGATTGGGCTCAGTGCTCAGCAATGCAGGCACTCGACCCCTATAGCCAAAAGAGAAGGAAGCCTGGCTGCTGCTCCAGCTGGCAGCAAACCTCGGCATCATCCGTGTGGTGCTGGTTTTAGGCGCATGCAGAGTGCAAGAGTTGTGGGGTCAGGAGGCTCCCACCCAGATCTCAGGAGGCCTGGGAGGCAGGCAGTGCCCCCCGAGAGGGCGGGGAGTGAAGCTGAAGGTGCAGTGGAGACCCTAGAAGTATGGAGAAGCCAGGAATGTGGATTGCCTGAGGAAAACTGCAAGGAGGGAGCACAGCCAGCCAAAAAGAGAAGCCACGGGAGCTACACTCACCGGAAGTCCCATAGGGGTGGAGCCCCAAGTTCACAGCGTGCCACAGATTGCCAGGAATGCTGGTAGTGGATCTGTGAGATTTAATATTTGCCCTGCTGCATTTTGGATTTGCTTTTGTCCCATTCCTTTGTATCCCGCTGCTTAGAACTTTTGGAATGGAAATGTCTGTCTTGTGCCGTTGAATGTTGGAAGCGTTTGCAACTTTCTCTTCATTTGTACAAGGGCTTGCAGCTAAGAATCTGTCTTAAATCTCAGAGAGAATTTGGACTTGGACTTTTCAGCAATGCTGAAACTCTTAGGGCGTTGGCAACTCTTGGAGATGAACTAAATGCTTAAGGGAAAATGCACGAGTCTTGCTGGGCCAGGGATGAAATATTATGGCTTATGTTTAGAAGTCTCCCCAACGCCTCATGAAGTCATGAGTGGGGCTTTATGGAGGTGGCTTTTTTCTAGTGTGTGTGATGCTGGAATTGATTCATGGTGCAGTGCTGTGCTCAAGGGATTAAAGGTGTGAATACTCCCCACCCTAAGTAGTATGGATAGGAGAAGAAGTGCACAAAGACACTGTTAAGGGCCCTTGTTGCTTTTGCTACCTTGGGGGCACCATGAACTGTTCTCCTCTGCAAAGCCGCTCTGCCTTGAAGCCAGCCGATTATGGACTGAAACGTCTCTACAAACTGTGCGCTAAATAAACCTTTCCTCCTTGAAAAAAAAAAAATTGGGGATTTGGGAAAATTAATTTTTTCATGAAAATGAGAAAAAAAATTCAGGGTTAAGGAAGAGAAAAAGCAGTTAACAAAGGACTGACACTGCTTTTCTTATGAGAATTTTTTTTTTTGTTACCGGTGATCAAACTCAGGACCTTGCCCTTGCTTGCGAGTCAGTTGGCGGAACCACTGAGTTAAATCCCCGGCCCTGAGACATTTTCATATGGGTCTGTGAAGACCAGAGGACAATTTCAAGATTTTTCTAGCGGGAACAAGGACAGGCATTTAGCCAGATAGGTGCAAAGTGTTAAATTTATTTTTAAAAATGCTTCTCACCTGCATGTTTTCATCCAGTGAAAGAGGTGATATCGTCCCCATGGACAAATGGGAAAAATCAGGCTTTGTCCTAATTTAGTTCCCTGGATGGTAGAGCAGGGAAATGTTAGAGCCAGGCTGAAAGCCCTCAGCCCCGATCCCCCTCCTGAAGTAAGCTGCCGGGTGGGATTGCAGACAGAACTCAGGTGCACACATATGAGCTGGCAGAGGTCCGGGCCTCACGGTATAGGGACTCCTGGATTAGAGTGGGGACCACGAGGACTCCTGCAGTGTGAGGGAAGCGGAGTCTCCATTCCTAATAGGAAACAGATGCAGCGTCCTAAGATGTGGCTGCATTGTGATTCTGCACCGGCCTCGTCCTGGTGTTGGGTGTTGGTGGAAGCTGATCCAGGCTGGACGTAGCCTCCTTTCCCTGTCCTGTAAGACTGTGGCTTACCTGACCCGGGTCCCTGTGCTCAGGTCAGTGTTGGCTTAGAGCCCTGAGAGAGCCAGGCGTGGCCAGGGGGCCATCCGGGAGTTAGGAGATGCAGGTCCCACGCAGGCTGGACTGGGTGAGGGAAGGTTACTGTTCAGTTCAGAGCACAAATCTCGTGTGATTAAATTATAACTGGAAGGTGATTGAAAGCCTGCAAGTAGCAAATTTAAGATTACCAAAAGGAAAGGGAGCTGTGGTGAAGAAAGGGAGCACGACACCGGTACTTTAACATCAGCATAGGTTCAGAGACTTAGCTGGCGTTGTGTTTTGTTTAAATACTAATCACAAGATAACCTCACTTGAGAGAAAATTGTCCCACCTTTTTAAAAAATTGAGAGCACAAAATCTTACTAAATGGTGCATCATGGTGGGAAGTGTGAAATACTAACTTGTCTGAGAATGGATGCCTAAGTCTGCGCCCTCAGGAGACACGGGAGGTGGAGGAGGAGCTGTAAGCGGGCGGGCACCGTGCTCGCAGACTGCCTGTGTGAATGTGACCTGTTGATTTAGGAGGATTCACTGGGGCTCCAAAGCGGACTCAGGATTCTGAGTAATCTCCATGGCCAGTGGGAAAACCTGGGTCCTCAATGCTGCATTGTGTCGCCCAGTGGGGTTTGCCAAGTTCAGCACAATGAGATGAGCACAGTGCTGAGCAGGGCAGACATCGAAGGCTTTACTCTGCTTTTGGTGGTGGAGGGCGTGGTGTGGAGAGCCTGTCGCAGGTGTCCTGTCACTGCAGCTCTGTCACTGCATCCCGCGAGTGTGAGGCTCTGTGCTCTGACCTGCCTGCCCTGGAGAATGCGCGCTTGGACCAGGGTGGGCCCTGCTCAGGACCAGATGGGAGCATCTCTCAGCTTGGCATCCTGCTGTGGGTCAGCATCACATTCCTTCAGATTGCATGTTTGGGGTGGCATGAAAGAATACCATCAGTTTTAGGAATGTCTCATTCCTCTGGGTTCTAGTAAAGAAATTTTAATTATTCTCGGCCTAATTTTTGGCCTAAAAATTTGCCAATGTTTGTGCTCTGGTCAGTAATAAAATGTTAAATCCTGAAAAGTTACTTCAAAAAACTTTTGCCTAACATACTTTTAAAACCTTGGGAAATGTTTAGATAATGATTCACCTACAACATTTCTTTCCAGAGGGTAAAACTCAGTGCCTAAGTGGGGGCATTAGAGACAGTTTGTCTGGATTGGAACATTGGCCCGGCTACTCACTAGTTATAGTATCTTAGGCTTTGTCTCAGTTTCCTTAACTGTTCAATGGAATTTTAGCAGTTCCAGTTTTTATAGGGTTGATGCAGAATAAAAGTTAATGTTTGTGAAGTGCTCAGAATAATGCTTGTCTCTTTAGTGCCCAGTAATACTATTACTTATTTCCTTATCGCATCTCCTACTTACTTTTATTTCTCACCAATTTAGTTTTGTTATTTATTCCTTTTTGGTATATTTCCCTTTAGTTTTTCTTAGTTATGAAACATTAAATGCATGCAAAGATGAGGAGAACACACTGGACCTCCACATAAGCATTACCTGGATTCAGCAGTTACCAGGATGTTTCCCCTTATCATGAGATCCCAGAGCGACTTCCCCCTCATGGTCTGTGGTTAGGTGACAGCCGCCCAGCTTACTTTTCTTTTCAAGATACAGTGCTCAGTACTGTTAGACTATCTTGTCAGCCCTTTTCAAAAAATGGCCCGTTTCTTACATAAAAATTACTGGAGTTTGTTTTCTATTCACATTTGTCTATGTAGTAGAAGGAATCGGTCTTCCTTTTTTTCCTCCCCCTTGAAGTTTGAATTGTGCTTTACAGTCAGAAGAAGAAGCTGTAGAAGGAGAGAAGGAAGTAGAAGCTTTGAAGAAAAGTGCAGACTGGGTATCGGACTGGTCCAGCAGACCTGAAAACATTCCACCCAAGTAAGTGCTTCCTGTGTCCCCTGGGCCCCCACTGGCCTCCTCCGCCAGTGTGTTTCCAAGGACTCTGAACTTCTCCCTCCCGCAGGGAGTTCCACTTCAGACACCCGAAGCGCTCTGTGTCCCTGAGCATGAGGAAAAGCGGGGCCATGAAGAAAGGAGGCATTTTCTCCGCAGAGTTCCTGAAGGTGTTCATCCCATCACTCTTCCTCTCTCACGTTTTGGCTCTGGGGCTAGGGTGAGTACTGTTAAACTCCGAGGCGTTTTCCGCTCACTTCATTGTTGTGTTTATTTTCGGACGTAAGAAGTGCGTGTGAAGGTAGTTTGCATTGCTTTGCTTTTAATGTTTTGTGTGGAAAGGTGAACTTAAGGCTAATTAAGTCTGGTACACAGTTGGTCTACCAATAAGCAGGCTTAATAATAGACTTTTTTTTCCTGTACTGGGGAATGAACCCAGGGCCTCTGCACTGAGCCACATGTCCAACCTTTTTGTAAATTTTCTTTTTATATTTTGAGACAAGGTCTTGGTAATTTGTTAAGTTGGCCAGGCCGGGCTGGAACTGACAATCCTCCTGCCTTAGCCTCCCAGAGGGCTGTGGTTACAAACATGTACCACCATGGCTGGCTAGTTTTAATGATAGTAGAATTTTTTCTTATTTGAGACTAAGCTATTCTTACTAATCTCCTGAGTGATGATTTTTTTTTTGGTACCAGGGATCGAACACTGAGTGATGATTTTTAAGTGGGTCTTCAATGATTTACCCTCAGTGGACCCTCAGGTTATGACCAGCCTGACGTACAGACAAACAACTTTGTTACGACTGGAATTTTAGTTTTAACTTCTGTCCAAAGTTTTGAGTTACAACCCAAATGCGAGCTACTTGTGCTTCCAGATGATCTCAGATGCAGATTTAACCCTTAAAGGGTTCTGGAAGGAACATTGCAACATCTTTTCCTGTGTGGGGTTCATTGAGAAGTCCTGGGCCAGTGTCTCTCTAAGGACCCTGAGGTCTGCCTGTGTGCAGGAGAGACTTTGAAGGCTGTGTAGAGGAGCCTGAGCCTTTATTGACCAACTTGGGTAAGAACCAGCCCTCAGGAACAAATTTTTCTTTTTTTAGTTTTGTTGTATAAAAGTTAGCTAATCTTGAGTAAGTTACAAAAATTTAGCATGTAAACTTTGGGGGGTTAATGTGAAATGATTTTTTTCTTTTAACTTTATAAGTTTTTGTTTATTTTAAAATCAGCCTGATATTTCCCTATAATTTGTTAATTTTTCAGGCTCATCTTAAATTTCTTGTTTTTTTTTCTTGATTTGAATTACTGAGGGAGGAACAAGTGAAAGATTTTAGAAGTAAAGAGTAGCTGTTACTTTTCTTCAAGACGTACCGGTCATGTTCCTCTGTGAGCATTGAGTGGCCGTTTTCTGCGTGGCACACGGAAGCGAGCCCATCCCTGACCCTCTCTGTGAGTGGAGGGAGTCCCAGTCATGAACCTGGCCCCTGTGTGGGACTTTTCACCCCGCTGTCTCTTGGTGCTGCTCTGCTTTTGTCAGACACAGTGGGCAGGTGGGAGAGGTGGTGCAGGGAGGCCGGGAGTGGATATTGTGAGTCGGGACTGGGCGTTCACACACTCCTGGCTCTCAGTAGCGCATTTGCCCTCCAAGATTGAGTTTTGCACCTTGCAGTAGCTCACGCTTTCATGAATCGTCACACTAGTGTTTGTTTCACTTTGCTTTGTTTTTGTCTTAAGTGTAACTTGCTGTGGATGAATGTAGAGTTTAAAAAGTTGGTTGCTTTATTGCAGCAGGTGTGGAGCTAGTTACTGACCTTCCTCAGCTTCCCTTCACTTGCATTGTGGAGGCTCAAGCCCTTGGCTGGCATGGGAAGTCATGGCAGGCCCCTAACCCTTAAGAGGTACTAGTCACTGCTGTCTGAAAAGCACTGGGGGCTTTCTAGGGTTTGATTTTTGTTTCTTATTTTTGCCTATACTGAGCACCTAAGCAGTCTGGCCTATGACTGACTCTTTCAGTGTCTGAAAGAACAGTGAACTTCTTTACCACCAAAAAAGCATCGTCTCAAGGAGGGGCCCTCTGCTCCGAGAGGGGTCTGTTCTCTCTCTCTGGCTGGTTTCATCGCATCACTGCCCCTCGCGCTGTCCATTGCAGGCTTAGTTAGCAGACAGTCACGTAACACCAGTGTGGCCGGGCTGGGGACCAGTTCTTTATAGCAGGAGGCTAGGGATGAGGCTCCGTGGTAGAGCACTTTTTGCCTAGCGTGTGTGAAGCCCTGAGTTTAGTCCCCAGACATCCAGACCTGGTAAATAAAGTGAGTGACCATTTCAGGGCGCTGGAAGCTGCCCACAGACCTCTAGGACTTTTCACGGGGACTTTTCGGTAAGGACCCGCCTGGGGATGCGCTGGTGTGGAAAGAGCTGATCTGTGATGCCCTCTGCTTCCTTTCAGCATCTACATTGGAAAGCGACTGAGCACACCTTCTGCCAGCACCTACTGAGGAAGGGAAGCTGCTGGAGCACACCTGGCCTGCGAAGTGGTGTATTGTCACGTAGTTTATCTGAACTTGAGACCATTGTAAGCATGACCCAACCTGCCACCCTATTTTTACATCTCCAGTTCCAGTAACTCTCAAATCAGTATTTTATTCAAACTCTGTTGAGGCATTTTACTAACCTCTTTCCCTTTCTGGCCTGTAAGACACTTTAGAAGTTTCCTGACAGTTTCCTGTTGTTTAGAAATTTGCAAGGGCTTCTTTTCCTCAAGCGCCACCAGCAGATTAGTTTTGTCAGCAAGGCTATCACCTCCCGTAGCACCGTGAGCAGCAGCTGTGTTGTCCACGTAGGAATTTGACTCCAGCAGTGCATCTCCTGTCTCAGAACAAGAGCAGGTTAGCATAAGTTCTCTTTTCCAACACAAAGACAGGCTGCTCTGAGCTTGAATTTATAGTTACTAAAAAGAACATAAAAACAAAAGCAAAAGACAAAAAATATCCTGGGCAATAAAAAGTTATTTTAAACCAGCTTTGGAGCCACTTTTTTTCTAAGCCTCCTAATAGCGCCTTTTAATTTGTAGGAGGCAGGCTGTATAAACAGTAGGTAGAAAATAGAACAGGAACTAAACTACATCAGCAGATTTTAATACTAGTATGTTGTATTGCTGTCTTTTCTATGGTATAGAATCTTTATTTCTGATAAGGAACGTCTCAGGCCTAGACACATATGAAATTGCTTTTCAGATTTTTTTGTGTGTGTGGTATTTCCATGTGTTAGCTGCATGTGAATTTTTCATAACTCTCCATTTTTTTTAAATTTCCTCCCTTTTTTTCCTATAAGAAGAGACTTCAGAACGAGTCCAATTTGTGGTGTTAATCCAGGCTTCTTGTTTTAGGAAGCTTCACTTATACTCTGAAGCCTTTAAACTCTGAAGAAAACTGCTTCAGAGTTACTCCAAGCACTTGTGCAACTTTGAAAATGCCCCTGGGTGGTGGGACAGGTGACAGAGCTCTGGAAAGATGCCGCTGTGTCCTTGCAGCCCTGCTCGTGGGGCTCTCTGTGCAGCCTTCCCGAAGTGGCCCTCTGACGTGCAGGCCCTGGCTGGGGTTTCTCCTGTAGCCATCTCCTCAGTTATGTCCCCTCCTGACATTCAGAACACTCAGCAGATTCCTTCAGTGACAGACTTGTGTTTGTTTCTAAAATGTGAAGCTTTAGGACCAAATTGTTAGAAAGGATCAGGATTACGGATTATCTGAGTAGGTTTCATTGGATTTCAGAACATTCAGCATGACTCTGAAAGATACTACTATATGTTTTATATATAAATAATTACCATTTATGATATAGACCTTGCTATTGAATATTTAGAGAACCATTGTTAATCTTAAAGCTAGCAATCTATGAAATGTATCAGGTGAACTTGAACAAAACACTATTGTAACAACCGGGTTTGCCAGTTTGCAAAAGCTAACTCTTCTCTCACATTAAGGTTTGTAAAACTGCTGGGGTACAGTGGAAAATAACACAGATTAAACAAATATTCATTTCTACCTTTTTTCAAGAATATAGCTGGCTGTCTTTAAGAATGATGATATTATCCAAAACAGTTTTCTAAATGATTTTCATTTTTCTTTCTAGAGTTTGAGATCTAAATAATTTTGGATATCTTATTGTACCTTGTTTCTGTCTTACTCTTAAACCTAGTGACACTTGAATTGCCTTCTGTTTATTTCAAGTGTTCACATTGGAATTTCTTTGGAAAGAAAGTAAACCCACTGTCTTCTTGTAAAGTCTGGATAAAATTGGGAAGGCTGGTAAAGCTAAGAACCAAATAGCTGTGCTGAAATACTATAATGTTCAATTTGTATTACAATTGGTATTCTGGGAGAGAAGAGTAAAATTATACTTTAAATAAGAGCTGCTTTTTATAGGCAGTACATTGCACTCTTTCTAAATTCAGTAGCAATTTTATCAGTAGTGCCATTGAACTCTGGGTATATTTATGATTTTTACCAACACTGAAAACATTTATTTTTGCCCTATTTTTTAAGTATCTGTAAAATTATAGAATATTAACTAAAAATGAATACATCATCACAGTAGAACTTATTGTAAGGTGAGCTCATGCGGTGTTTATTAATACCCCGACATGTGGACCAGATGTTTATTCTCTACCCAGATTTTTGTTGAATGAAACAGATTGATTGAAAAGGCAATTAGCAATGAACAGTTGAAATTCTGAGATTAATGTTTAAAAAGCTTTACACCTGTTTACAGTTTGGGGCTGAAAAGGCAGGCTTCTTTTTGCTTTTGTTTGATGAAAACTGGCTTAAGATATTGATGTGTAAAACCAAGAGCAAAAGCGCACCGCCTTGCAGGTGACAACTGCAGCATGTCACCTTATGGAACACAAACATTTACTTTGAAAGGAAGATTGAAGACTCAGCCAGCGAGGTGAATTTCGAAATGAACCAGTTGTTGAAATTATTGGAATTAACTGAGCCAAAGTGATTATGCATTCTTCATCTATGTAGTTAGCATTTTGTATCATATACAGTTTACAATACATGTATAACTTGTAGCTATAAACATTTTGTGCCATTAAAGCTCTCACAAAACTTTCTCTGTGGGTTTTCATTGTCGTGTGTGTTGCAGGGCCTTTGGGAGGGTGCCGGCCTTTTCTGGCCTGGAGTCCCCAAGCCAGACCCGAGCGCCATCACCATGCAGCGTAACAGCTGTGTGCAAGGCGCTGAGCTCCTGTAGTCAGGGCATCACCCACAGAGGAGCACAGGACTGAGAGGTGAGCAGGTGTTGAGCAGTGCAGAGGAGGAGTGAGCAGTATGCCTGGAGGGAGTAGCCCAGTGGTCCAGACTGTGCCTGTGACCCTGGATTGCTCCCCAGCACCAGGAAAACACAATACAATCAGCCCACCATGTCCTCAGGTGCCACATCCTTGGATTCAACTAATGGGCCTTGAAAATGAGAGCCTGCCCTGAGCACGGGCGGATGTTTGGGTCACCATTCCCTTCCCCTAATGCAGCATCGTGACTGTTCACACTGCACTGGCACTGGCACTGGCTGAAGTGTTCTAAGTAGAGCTGAGTGCAAGTGTAAGTGGACCTCAAGCTGTCATACAAGGACTTGAGCGTTTGCTTGCAGGCTTCGGTACTGGGGTCCTGGCTTCAGCCCAGCAGGGAGACGGGTGGCTGGATTCCACTCGGTTTGCTTTTCCCGAGACCCCATCCAGTGCAGGCTCCCAGCTACCTTGCCGGCTCGGCCCAGGAGCTTCCCACTGACTCGTCCTTTTCTCTCAGCTGCCACAAGGCTTGTTCCAAATAAGAATCGGGTCGTATCACAGTGTGGCCTGAAATGCTGCAGTGGCCCCCATTGTCTTGACTAGAGTTAAGATGGCTGCAGCACCCCTGCCCGCCCGCCCCACCCCAGCTGGGTGAGGTGCTGCCCTGCAGTCTCCCTCCCTCACGCCCGGCCCTCGCGCCCTCGCGCCCGGCCTGGCAGCCGCTGCACCCTGAGGTATAAGTGTGTTCATTCCTCGGCCAGTGCTACGGCTGCGTTGGCCTGTTTCCCATGGCATCCCGGAGCCGACGTGGTGCGTGTCACTGGGTGCACACTCAGTAGGTATTGAAAATTACCGCGTTCTCTTTTCAGCACAGGGGGGTTTTGACCAGTTATACTGGATTTGAAATAACCTAGACCTCAGAAACGGCTGAACTCTTAAGGCCAATGCATTTTGAGAGGAAGAAAACAGGAAGCATTAAGGAATGGATGCGAGGTTATGGGAACTGGAAATCTGAGGAGCCACAGCTGGAACTAACTGATCTTTAAAATTCCGGCTGAACCCACAGTCTTCTCTTCCTCTCCCAGGAAGGAGGACAAGGATACAAAGGCAGCTTCTTGGGAGAGGAAGAGAAGACTGGGCTCAGCCAGCGGTAGACACTTGCCTAGCAGGCTCAGGCCCTGGGTTCCAGTGCCCAGCACTGCAGAAGTAAAAACAGCACCGAATGTGGGGCTGCCATTAGAGGAACTTCCTGCCTGGGACTGCGTCACAGGACCTGAGGTGAGAAGGCTGGACTGAGATTCCACCCGCGGGAAGAACAGAAAGAGCAGAGTTGGAAGATGCTGTGCACAGCGCTCCCAGGGAGCTGTCCTCGATGCCCTTGGAGAGGAACTGCACCTCTGAGGACTTCACTTCTGCCGAGCACCTCGGTGGCTGGAGGTTAGCAGCGGCCGCGTGGGGCATTGGCAGAGGAAGGAGCCAGCAGTCCGCAGTTTCCTGCACCCTAGTTGCCAGCTCAGAGCAGAAGCGCTTGCGGACGCCAGCCTCGCGGCTTTTTCGGAACAGTGATGAAATCACCATTGATGCCCAGAAAGTCATGGCTTCTAACCTGAACCCTAACTTCGCAGTGCTTCGTGTTCTTGGAAATGCTCACCCACATTGTGATGGAGGCCCTGGGAGGTGATAGGACCCGCCTTGGCAGCGTGGCCAGTGAGGCTTATTGTGCTGTGTGTATTTGGCAACACTGGCAGTCCTGGTGAAAGACAGCTTTTAGGCTCCTCAGTATCCATGTGGGCATCACTTGCTTCAGCATTGTCGATCAGTTTAAAAAGAGAAATCCATATGCATTTCAACTATTCATGAAAGTTGATTTTCATATCATCTGTGCTTTTGTGAGTGCTATCGTGTTCCTGCCAAAGAATTCGTATTTTTGGGAGTGTAAGTCAGGGTGAGAAGAGCAAGTAACTTCTGCTGGCTTCCCGAAGTGCCAGGGATTGGTAGGGTTTAGTAAACCAAGTGAGGAGGAGGAGGTGAAGGGAATAAACCCCAGGGAGCCCATGGTGAGCTGAACCCCGGACTCTTCTGTTCTTACCTGTTTGGGCGGCTGCTGTTTGGGCTTGCAGAAGTGAAGTTGAAGGTCCAAATGAGCCGCCCTGTGCCCACATCCTTTCTCAGTAGGCAGCCCTGAATTCTCTTGGCTTCGAGCTTGGCCTGGCAGCCCTGAGCTCAGAGGGTCCAACAGTCCTCAGCAAAGGGCCCCTCCCTCTCCCTCTCCCGCTGTTATTCAGTGAATTTGATGTTTTCCCCCCATGACAAAAGTCCTGATTAATGTGGTGAGTACAGTCTTAAAGGAATTTCCAGTATGGACCAACATTGTGTTTTCCAAGCTTCGGTTTTACCTCTGTGATTTGCCACTGAAATAGGATATGGATGTGAGGGTTTTTTGGTACCGGGGATTGAACTCAGGACCCTTGCGCTTGGGAGGCAGGCAGCGGCACCACTGAGCTAAATCCCTGGCTCCTGGGTGTGAGTTTTAACAATCACTGCGGGTCCTGTGTTGCACACAGCCTGCTGACTGGCACACACGCATTGGTGCTCATCCATGCTGGGGTGCCTCGCCGGGTCTGACCAGAAGGGGCTGACACAGCCTGGGCAGGATGAGGGACGGACACAGGGTCCACTTCCACTGCGCTGCCAGGACCTTGTCCTGCAGCCACGAGCTCCCCTACCACCTCTGCTTCTCCCTGAAAGGGGTCGCTATCTAAATGTCCCCCAAGAGCCTCCTGGGAAGCTAGGCAGAGCTTTGGAAAGCCATCGGCTATGGGGCTCGCAGCGGCTTAGGGGCATGGCCTGGGAGGGTTTATCCGACCTCTGGTTCCTGTCCCCCATGCCACAGCAGCTTTTCCTCTGCCAGGCCCTTGCAGCTTCTACCAACTGCAAGCCGTAATACACCTTTCTCCTTTGAAAGCGACTGAGACCCTGCCTTCTCTTCCCTCCTTGGCTCTAACACATCTCTGCCTTCTGCTGACTCTGACTCCGGCCTCTCTCCAGTCTCCGCTCCTCCTGTCCCCTCTGGTCACTGCCCTCTGGTCTGGGCCACATGGGAGCCTCCTGATGCCCCCTCCCCACCCTGCAAAGCCTGATTGCCATGGGCTCTGACAGCTCCGCTGGTGGAAAGGCCGATTCTTGTTCTTACCCAGGGCGGCAAGAAGCAAATACGGAAAACAGACGTCTCAGCAAACTAAGTTAAGAGCATTTTATTACGGCTTTTGTTCTGCTCTCCTGAGAGTCCACCCAGAGCCCCGCACACTCTAGGCAAGTGCTCCGCCCCTGAGGCTCAGCAGCAATGGGAATAGAGGCAGCAGTAAGGCTTCGAGCAGGGCTCGAGTGCTCGGCCAGCAGGCACGAGGCCCTGGGTTCAGTTCCCAGTACTCATGGGGTTGGGGCCCGAAGCCCTTTCCTCTTTGACCTCTTTTTTTTTTTTTGCCGTACTGGAGATTGAGTTCGGGACCTTGCGCTTTCAAGGCAGTCGGCAGTGCCACTGAGCTAAATCCCCAGCCCTCCTCTCTGACCTCTTTGAAGACACCAGGCTCCCTAGCTCCGGGCCTCCACACCAGCTGCTCCTTTTGATTTAGCCCGTGTTCATGGGACACACTGATTCCCTTCATGGGGGGAGCAGGTACATGTACACAACACATCTTCATTCTTTCTGTCCCCTTCGCCCTTGCTAGGGCTCCTGTCCAGATGTCCCCACAAAGCCTCATGGGGTCATAGGCGGGGCTTTTTCAGAGGTGGCTGGATCTAGAGTCTGTGATGCTGGGATTGATTCCAGGCGCAGTGCTAGGCCTGAGGGCACTAGGATTAAGGGTGTGAGTGCTGCCCGCCCTCCCTAAGTAGCCTGGGTGGGGCAGAAAGATGCTGGTAAGGTCCCCTTGATGCTGTCCGCCCCTCTCCTTTGCCTCTGTGCCTTGGAGCCAGCCAATTATGGATTGAAACCCTAACTCCTTTAACTTTGGGTGACGGGTATTTTGTCTCAGCAACAAGGACAGAAAAGTAACTAAGACGCCCCCTTCCCCTCCCTCCATCGAAAGATGCCCTTTTGTTTGCCAAAGACCTCTCCCCATTTCCCACTATCTTTTCTTTTGCTTTTAAAATTATTTATACTTTGGGTTTCTCATAAGAGAAACCATGTAGTCTTTAAGCTTGTGATGCCTGGGTCAAATCCCCAGCACCACACAAAACAATTGTAAAGTGAAGCTTCATATTCATTGACAGGGCTGGGGATTTAGCTCAATGGTTCTGCTGCCTGCCTTGCAAGCGCAAGGTCCTGAGTTCGGTCCCCAGTACCCAAAAAAAATTTATTGATGTTTAATCCACTTCTTCTAAGTCAGTTTTGCCTGTGACGTGACTGGGAGGTCAAAGTATGTAAAATCAAGACAACATTTGCAATTTTCTTTTTCTGCATAGTTTTTACTTTAATTTGATTCCCTGCTATTCAGGACCTAAAGGCCCATGACTCAATTTCTCCCTTTAAAAATAAATATGATGCTGGATGAGGGCCACACACCAAAGGTCCCAGCTACTGGGAGGCTGAGACAGGAGGATCCCCCTGCATCTCGTCAGATGCATAAGAGAAAAGGTAGGCAGCAAGGGGGGTTGCCGGGGTTAAGGAGGCAGCGCAGTCAGGGTCTGCGGTCCTCAGCTGGTGGATCCAGGTGGCTCAGCGAAGGGCCTGCGGTGGAGCTGTGCGGGCGGTGAGGCCGCAGCTCTGCTGGGCAGTGGACTGGTTTCGGGTCTTTGTAGGGCCCGGCGAGGACGCGGATAAAGGGGCCAGGCACAGGCCAGGATAAAGCCCTCCCGGTCTGTCTACCTCACGAGCTTGAAAATAACCAAACCCTGATGCACAGACCGCGGGCACAGATCCCACGTGCCCACCAGGGGACGGGGATGGGGACCAGGACAGGCCCATGAACCCACAGGTTTCCGGGCACGGGGCCTTGTGTGTCCTGGGATCCACACGGGGGCTGTGCCCTTGGGGATCCCCTGGCATGGGGTGTGGGTGCTGGCTGCGCTGGCCATCCAGGATGGGCACAGAGCAGCCTGGCTTTGGATTGTGACCTCGCTGAGTCACCCGGTAGGTCACTGTCACGAGTTAGCTCGCTAATGGGTTACTTGGGAGCCAGGACTCGGCTGTGAAGCCTTCCTGAGGCAGGTTGAGGCAGCCATGGGTGGGACCTCATTTCTGCGGATGGAGCAGGTGCAGCTGGAGGCCGCGTGGCAGGGAGGGTGGCACCCTAAGGGACAGGTGTGTCTGGCTTTTCCGGGAGACTGTGACACTGCGGGGGGGGGGGGGCAGAACCTGGCCCTGTGAACGCGTCAGCATCGGGCCAGGGCGGGTGACCGTGACTTAGCCTCACCTGATTGGTGGGACAGGCAGCGTGAGCCACAGGAGGACATCAATGCCCAGCCTCCCTCCTGCTCCCCGTGGGCCCTGCTGGGGTGACAGGCTCCTTGTCAGAGGCCCTGGGGTGCCACCAGGCAGTGGGGTGTCTTAGCCATTGTCACACCCCAGGGAGCCCCCTTCCCTGCAGCCAGGCCGGTGCCCTGCTGTCCATTCGTCCTTCAGTCACCTGCCTGCCCTCAAGGTCAAGGGCAAGACCCCCTCAGATTCTGTCCTTCTTGCTCGTTGCCTGGTGGGTCTATGACTAGCCAGGTCAGAATCCGGCTTATGATCGGTGCTACAAATCAGTCCTGGGTTCCCAGGACCCCCACGGAATTCAGGGGAGCCCCCAGCCCGGGAAGCTCCTCATTTACCTGTTCACTGCAAAGGCTGCAACTCAGGATGGCCAGGGGAGAGCTGCACCTGGTGAGGAGCAGGAAGAGTCCCACCTCCCTGGCCACCTCCCTCGGGGGTCTTTGTCATTAGGATGAGTCCTGAAACCCTTGGCCATTGGAGGTCGAGCCCAGGGCCCTGGTCTCCCCAGGGCCAGGCAGGCCGGAAGTTCCCATCCTCCAGGAAGTACCTTGTTGGCATAGACTAAGGTTGGAAGGACTTGTGAATAACTTAGGAAATTCCCAGCCTGTTCAGAGCTTTGGGCCAGCAATGGGGACAAAGTATATGTTTCTTATAAATCGCAGTATCAGCCAGGTGCATTTTCACAGTCAGAATGTCTAGGCCCAACTGAGTATGGTGGTGCACACCTGTAATCCCAGCATTCTGGAAAGCTGAGGTAGGAGGATTTCAAGTTCAAGTCCAGCCTAGGCAATTTCGTGACTTAGTGAGTCACTGTTTCAAAATAAAAAATAAGGGCTGAGGATGCAGCTTGGCATGAAGGCCCTGGGTTCAGTCCCCAATACTGCATACATTCACAGAATAGCCCCCCATATCCATGAGTGAAAAACAAACACTTAATGCTTATTAAAAAGTTGCAAGGAAAGCAGAAATAAAGGGCTGGGAGCATAGTTCAGTGGTAGATCACTTGCCCAGCATGTGCAAGGCCCTGGGTTTGATCCCAGCACTACAAAGCAAAACAAAACAAAAGGACCCATCTTTTTGCTGACCCAGTGCTGCTTTGTTCACCCATGCATTGTTTCCTATGCACTTCCCTCTAACAAGGACCTTCTCCTTCACATGGACAGCAAAGCCATCCAAATCAGGAAATTAATGTCCACGCCCTGCTAGTATCTTATCCGCATGCAGAGACCTGCCATGTTTTCCAGTCGCACGGGCTCATGGCTTGCATTTATTTTTTTGTTTGTTTGTTTTTTTTTTTTAGTACCGGGGATTGAACTGGGGACCTTGCGCTTGCGAGTCAGGCACTGGAACCACTGAGCTAAATCCCCGCTTGCATTTGCTTTTATGTCTCCTTTATTTGCACAGTTTTTGTTAGCATTCCTGTTGCCGATACAAACTACCAAACACCCACAGTTTTGAAGAGGTTTCTTCTTGGCTCATGGTTTCAGTGAGTTCAGTCCGTGGTAGGCTGGGTCCAAGGCAGAAACAGCATGGTGGAAGGGAAAGTGCTCATGGTGGCCAACAAGTATAGAGAGAATGGAGCAGCTGGGGACAAGAATACACCCTTCTGATCATATCCCCAGTGACCCACCTCCAACCAGGCCCCAAGCCAAGCAGCATGGTCAGCTATGAATTTATCCATGGACTAATATGCTGATGATCCAGTCACTTTCCAAAAGCCCCCTCTCTGGAACTTCTCGGGGGCAGTTCAGATCTAAACCATTGCATGCACCTTTTATCTGTTCTCAGTCTCGGGTTGGAATCCTTCTCCAGTCTTTCCTGTCTCATGTAACATTGACACTGTTTTAGCTTGTTTGGTGGAATGTCCCTCAGTTTGTATGAATCTGTGTGTCCTCGTGATTTGATTCTAATCATGAATCTTTGGCAGGAAGCTTGCAGGAGTGAGGATGTGTTGTTCTTGCTGCTTCCAATCAGAAGGTTCATGATTTCACTTTGTCTCCTTACTGAAAAGTTTGCTTTCATAATTGATGCAAGTGCTGTCTGCCAGACTTCTCCACTATAATGTTATGGTTTTCCTTTTGCAAAAGTGAAGTATTTTGTGGAGAGGTGCTTGACTGGAATCGGAGAAATGATATGAACTCGTTATTTTTGATACTGCGGGTAGGTCTAGAAGTAGAGGTAGATATATAGAGTAAGTATATGAATGGTCTTCATGATGTCCCTAGCTCTGTGCACTGAGAGGACGATACCCACGTCGTAAAGAACCCAACCACCATCCAAATCCTGGATTCTAAATCTATTCTCTCCTGGGAATAACCAGTGCTTGTAGGACAAATGTCTGGGGTTAGGGAGAGTAAGATGTGCCTAGAACACTCAGATTATTTTTATTCTTATAGAATTACAGATTGCAATTAAGCAACAAAGACTCTGTCTAGTTTCCTCTCTCTCTCTATTTGCAACTCCTTTCTCCCACAGGGACAAACCTGGCTTGCATTATCTGCATTCTGCTTATTGGCCACACCCTGTGTGTGAGCCCCTCTCATTACTCGATGCCCCCTCCACAGTGCCATTCTTCTTGGGTTGGGCTCCAGCGCCTACTCCTTCACAGAGCAATGGATGGAAATACTTTAATATGTTAACAGTAGTTATCTCTTGTGGTGGGATTTGTGATTTTAAAATGTATATTTTGTAACTCTTATGAAATAAGTTATTTAAATTTTAAAAAATTTAAAAGGACCCTGGTTAGCTTCAAAATAGTTGAAAGCTGCTGTTTGCCTGAGTAACTGGTTGTGCATTTTTCTTCTGCTAGGCAGGTTCTAGGGTGGAATGCTCGAGCTGGGTGTTGTGGTATCCACAACTGCTTAGGAGGCTGAGACAGGAGGGTCCAACGTTCAAGGCCAGCCTGGACAACTCAGGAAGACCATGTCTCAGAATAAAAAAATAAAGAGAGCGAGGGATGTAGCTTGAATCCCAGTACTGGAAAAACAATAGATTAGATACTCCATGGCAAACCCTGGTGCTATTGTTTTTCAGCTGGATGATGAGGGATGAATTAATTAACCTCACTGCACCTTTGTTCTTTATTCTGTGAAATGGCATCTTACAGGCTTATTTAACAACTCAGGGCCTTACTGCTCATAAAGCCCAGGCACACAGCAAGCACCAACCGTGTTAGCTGCCGATGGCACTGCTGCTGCAGGGGAGGCCTGGCCTTCGGCAGGGTATTGCATGAGTCTCAGAGGAAGGAGATCACTGTCTGGTCACTCACTGGGTGTGGCGGGCAGCTGGCCTCCCCCGGGGCAGCAATTGAGGCAAAGGTGACAAACCACAGCAGGGGAGTGTTTGTTGTTCTCTCCTCTTGGACAGGATCCAAAGATCAGTTTCTTCCCCGACTCAGCAGCCTGGCACAAGGAGGCTGGGACTGGTGCCCACAGGACAAAGGACATATCTCTGTCTCTGAGTTGTGTCCAACCTGGGGATCTCTCTTGCTTTTTGCTCACTCATGCATTCATTCGGCTGTTCATCTTTGCATTTGTCTGGCTGTTCATTTCGCCTACATTTATTATTTGTCTGCCATGTGTTGGGTGCCGTCTCACACAGTATGCTAAAATCATTAAAATGAGACCAATAAAAATTAGTGGAATTAAAAAGGGACTTGAACAGATTATTCACAGTAGCTAAAAGGAGGGTGAATGGATGAACAAAATGCAGTGTGTGGACAGCAGAAGTGGGATACAAGCTACAGCAGAGATGGACCTTTAGAACATTACACTCTGGGAAATGAGCCACTCAGCAAAGGACAGAGACTGCTTAATTCCACTGATTTGAGGTGCAGGAATTAAACCCACACAGACAGAGTAAGGGGTGCTGGGTGGGGAAGGAGGCATGTGAGTGATTAATGGGTACCTCTTGGAGATTCGCTTATTTCTCTGGCCTTCCTTCCGTGTATGCATGAGGTACATATGCTATTAAACTTGTTTGCTTTTCTCTAGTTAATCTGGTTTTTGTTTTTTTTTGGTACCGGGGATCGAACTTGGGTCCTTGTGCTTTCGAGGCAGGTGCTGGAACCACTGAGCTAAATCCCCAGCCCTTACAGCTGTCTTTAATGTGAAGAAATTGTGACTACAGCTTGAGATAATGGAAAAAAATATAGAAATTAAGTTCATGAAACAAGATTCACACTCAGGTTTAGCTTTTGCAGTTTATTTTCTTTTAAAGCTTATTTTGAAGACATCACCCAAGGAGATACACAAGCACATGAAAAGACACTCAGCAACTTAGTCATGAGGAAATGCAACTTAAAAGCATATAATAAGATACTGTGATGCACTGATGACAACGACTAAAATTAAAAAGATGGACAAGAGTGTTTCATACGGAGGAAGAAATGTGCATACATTCAGCCTCACAGGCAGGAGAGGGCTGGGATGGGGACTTCCTGGGGCTAGAACTCCGGGTATGGGGGCAATAGACTGAGAGAGAAAACTACAATCTTATCTCTAGATCTAATTGGCTTGTTTTTGTGACTCCTGAACAGAGGCACGCGCAGCTGTTCTACAGAACAGACCAAGAGCTCCCACTGGGCAGTTACAGAACAGTGGACTTGGGAGGTGGGGACAAGGGAATAGAGCGATAGAAAACCCTGCCTGCTTTGCATCAGGTTGCGTATTTGTGTAGAGCGAGCAGAGGGCACTTCCTCATCATGCCTGTGTAGAGATTTAGCTAGTTGATTTTTGAAAATTTATTATGATTGATTGTTTTGATTTGTTGAGACAAGGTCTCGCTATGTAGCCCAGGCTGGCCTTGAACTTGCGATCTTTCTGCCTCGGCCTCCCACGTGTGGCCATTGTGAGGCATGAGGACACATGCCTGGCTTGAGACTTAGCCATTACTTCTCTGTATCCCGACAAGCACCTTGGTTTCTGGGTGCTGATGTGGAACCCCAGCAGGAGACCCTCTGTTGAGGTTTGGTCCCCTGGCCCAGTGGAGGCACTCAGGCAGACCAATGGCCCCTCGCATTTTATCTAAGACGCGGTTATTCTGTGTGCATTTTGTTTTTCTTTTTGAAACAAGGTCTTGCTATGCAGTCCAGGCTAGCCTTAACTCACTGTGTAGCCCAGGCTGGCCTCAAACTCACAGTGATCCTCCTGCCTCAGCCTTGAGAGTGCTGGGATTAAAGGTGTGCACCACCAGGCCCGGCCTCTGTGTGCATTTTGCTACCCGGGAAATGAGCAGAGAAGGAGACAGGTGGGCAGGAATGCAGGTGTCCCTGTCTGGAAGGGGTCTCTTCCTCTGTCGCTTCCTTCCCTCTTCTCAACACCCTGGAGAGTCAGGAAACTTGACCCCAGCTTTGCAGAGGGGACAGGAGGCTCTGAGCACCCAGCTGGTAGATGAACTGGGCCGTTGGGGCTAGGGGTCCTGTGTCCAAAGTCTGCCAGAGCATAGCTCCAGTGGAAACAAAGGCCATCCCGAAGAGCTCTTTCTCTCCACAGCTGGATTTCTCACCCTTGCTCTGGTCTGTCCCGAGACTGGCTTCTCTTGTGAGGACGCGGGGTGCCCAGAGGGTGAACCAGGTTGTGGCAGCCCCGGGGGGTCAGGAAAGGAAGGTGTCCTAAGGCAGAGGCAGATTTAACCACAGAACAGAAGAGGAAGAGCCCTGGGCCGGTCCCCAGCTGCAGAGGGGCTGATTACCCACCACCCCGCTCCTCCTTATGTAGGAAAGAGAATAGACAGGTCAGGGAAGCTCGGTGATCAGCAGGAGAACGTGGTGGGCTTGGAGAAAGTACAGCAGCCTGGAACAAAGCCCACGGAGTGCAGAACAGATAATGGATTGTAAATAATTCTCCATGGGATCAAGATAGAGGACGGTGGTGGGTGACAAAGCCAGGGCATGGACAGGCTTCCGCCTTTCTCCCCAGGATGCAGAGAACGCAGGCTTGCATGGTTAAGACCAGAGGTGACTGTGTTCCCTTCCCATCCGACCCAGGCAGGCGGGAGCAGGCGGGACAGCATGGGCGGGAGGACTGGAGGCTGAGCGGAGTCCAAGGCCACTGTGTGTGTCGGGCCCCGGGTCCCATCCCCAGCACGGAAAGCCCCAGTTGTGGGGTTGTCATGGGCCCCAGCAGCCCTGAGAACGTGAAGGGAGAGTAGGCGCTAACGGAGGAGCCAAGCTGGGAAGGGCGAGAAGAGGGCAGCCCTGAGTGCGACCAGGCACAGCACGGAGAGCGGAAGAGCTGAGCTCCAGCGTCCCCGGCGTCCGCGTGAGCTGCAGAGAGGCAGCAGTGCGGGGAGGGAGTCCAGGAGGGCGAGCTCCGTGTGTTTCACGGTGAGACCCTGCCTGCCAGGCGTCTGCTTGCTGCGGTTACCACGGAAACGCCAGACTCGCTCCAGCCCCTCTTGTTAAAGAGGATGAGACTTCGGGTCAGAGAGCTGAAGAGACTCCTGTCTTTCCTGTGGGCATCCTGGAAAAATATTATAGTCTAGGCATGGAGGTGCGTGACTGTAATAATTCCAGCTCCTGGGGGAGGCTGAGGCAGGAGGATGAAACTTTCGAGATCAGCCTGGGCAACTTAGGGAGACCCTGTCTCAAAATAAAATAAAAAAGGGTTGGGGATGTGGCTCAGCGCCCCCTAGGTTCAACTCCCAGTATTGCAATATATATATATATATATAAAATGCAGTAAAAGGCAGGTAATAACAGATAATATAAACCTTATCATTTACATTGTAACCATTTCTGAGTGGACAGCTCAGTGGCATTAAGCACATTTATATTGTGGTGCAGCCTTCACCACCATCCTCGGCTAGTGTCCCCTTCCGAATCCTTTTCTAAACTTGTCTAAAACTCCTCATTCTAGGCTGAGATCCACACGCAGGGACTAATTCCCATCCTTCCCCTCCTGCCCACAGCCCCTTCTGCGAAGTCAGACAGGGACTGTCCTCTGCGACTGGCTTCTTTCACGAGCAGCAGGTCCCCGGGCTCAGCCGTGGTGTAGCATGTGTCAGGCTGGGGGACATAAGGAGAGACCGCGCTTTGCGTATCCATTCATCTGTCCGTGGATATTGAGTGGCTTCCACCTTTCGGCTGTGGTGGACAATGCTGCTGTGTGCGTGGGCCCTGGAGCCAGCTTCATACACAGGTGCTGGTCTGAGGGCAGGAGGAGGACAGGCTGTTACAGGTCTTGAACAAGCAGAAAGAGGAGTGACATTTCTCTCTAAAAGTCAGCCGGAAGCCATCTTTGTCCCTGAGAGCTGTCAGCACATGTTATAGGGTCCTTTTGCTCCATTTTTTTTTTTTTTAAAGACAGGATCTCACTGCATAGTTCAGACTGGCCTTGAGCTCACGATGTAGCCCAGGCTAGCCTTGAACTGGATGGAGGCAGTCCTCCTGCCTCAGCCTCCCGAGGGCTGGGGTTACAGGTGTGCACCACCACACCTGGCTCTTTTAGGACAATTTTGCAGTAGGGTTTTTCTGTGTGAATGTTTGTGTGTTTGAAAAATTCCTATGTTGAAACCTCACCCCTAAGATGGCTCTGGGAGTGGGAACTTTGCTCTGTTCTGAGCACCTCCAGTCTGAGTGCCTGTGGCTGGGGTGAGAATGACAGACAGAGTGGCTTTCATCTGCAGAGCACAGATTCGCTTCCCTGGGGAGGATTCTCCCGGGGACCCTCTGTGCTTCTCTGAAGCCCAAAGCCAGCTGCCTGGGTCTACCTTTTGCAAGAATGGAAGCTCCCAGTGACAGGGAGCCTGTTTTATGAACGAGTGCGCTGCTGCCTGTCACCCCGGAAGGCTCGTGGAGGGGGGGTCCTCCCTCCCACTGCATCCGCATGTGGCCCAAGGCAAGTCACCTTGTCTAGGGACAAGAAGGCACCTCGGGGTGAGGACGAGGCTGGGGGCTTCCCCTGGTGCTGCGGGTGACCTTGCCCTGTCACTTGTCCTTCCTGTTCCTCATGGCTCAGTGGGAGCAATCACAGCCGCGTGAGCCGACCCCCCCCCCCACTGAGTGTTTTGAGCATGAGCGTTCGGAGGGATCATGGGAAGACAAGTCTGTACCATGGACATCATTCTGTCCCCAGCCCTGAGCTGTCTTCAGGACACCAGTCCTGTGTCTTCCGGTCACTTTCCACCCATCAGGCCGCAGCACCTCCCTGCAGCAGCCGCCCCTCCCCACTTCCTGTTCCCTGCATCCCGCTTCTCTCAGTCTCCTGTGGTTGGTGTTTGAGCCCTGTGTAGCTCTTCCCTCCTCCTGGCCTCCCCTTCCTGCCCTCAATCTGGCTGCTTCCTGCTGGTGTGGTCCTCCTTTCCTGTGCCACCCCCTAGTCAGTAATCCCTCCCTCTCATGTGACACTGCCAAAGCCATGACCATCGGCTGCTTCTGGACCTTTCTGCCCCTCCCTCCAGTGCTGCCACAGAGGTCCCCAAACGGGGCCCAGATCTCCTCAAGGAAAAGGAAAAGGAAAAGGACCTTCTCAAGGAAAAGGACCACAGCTGAGCCATCCACTTCAAAGCTCCCCACCCGCCTCTCCAGGCTGCCTCATGCCTGGTGGCTTTGGCCTGATGCTCCCCACTGGCCACACCCAGGGCCACGCCGCCTCCAGCTGGCCTGGCTGCTTACCTAGCTGAGTGTGCTCAGACACCTTCGCTCTGCCTCCTTGCATGATGCTCTCTCTGGCTTCAGCACCAACTCTCCCGTCCCAGTGTCCTGCTGGGTTGCTGTCTTTCCTTTGCTTTGCAATGTGGCTCAGAGGCCCCCCGGGCTGTTTCTGTGGAGAACACAGATTCCCATTCCTGTGCCTCACACTGGCTCAGAAGTGTTTGAGTTCCTTTCCTCCTGCCTGAATTCCTGAGGGCAGAGAAGACCATGTTGCCTCCACTCAGTAGCTGCTGGTCTGCGGGGTCCCTTGCTCTCCCATGAGGCACCTCTGCTGTCCCTCCCACCTTGCCCAGGACACCTGGGGCTGATTCTCTGCAAGTCCCAGAGCACGTCTGCAGGTCCCATGCTCAGCATGGCAGGGGCGACAGTGCTTGATGGCTTTGAGGTGGCCAGAACCTGCACCCACAGGCCTCAGTGCCTCGCTGCCCACTGGGAGCCGTGCGGGAATTCACAGAACCTCCTCCTCCCTCCTCCATGGCTCACAGCAGGAGGTCACGGCCGCCTCTGTCCTCAGCCAGCGCTTTTGCCAGGACTGCAGAGGGAGGGCGTGGCCATCTCAGAGTGCGGCCCTGGTCATCTCCAGTGCCACTAACCACAGGCCTCTTCAAGGAGGCGGCATGCGGGCCCTGGCTGCCTTGGCTTCCTGTCCCCAGGACTCTAACATCTCGGCTGGAGTTGGCCGCGGTGGAGGTTGCAAGGGATGTGCCCAGGGCTGTCCAGGACAGGTCAGCTTGGGACCTGCAGCTTCTCTTCCTCTGCCTTCCTCTCCGAAGGACTCACCATGGGAAGCACTTGGTGGAGCAGGCCGTGAGGTCTGGGTTTTTCTGGACGGCTCCGATTGCTGTTGCTTTATTCATTGAAATGGAGATGAACTGCTAAATGCAACAGTTAAATGTGATTTAAATTGTACATCTCTGTGCAGTTTTTCATGGAAACTTGCTAATTAAATCTTTTGCAGAGCTTGTCCTTGTGCTTTTGTGGGGGTGGCTGGGAGGCGAGGTGTCCCTGCTGGGGATGAAGCTTGCTCTTTCTGAGCAGCATCTGCGTCGCCTTTGAGACACTAAGCACAAGACGCCTGCCTTTGAATACACCCAAGGGTGGCCTTTGGAGCACTCCGTGGGCCCACTTAGCCATTTCTTCCCCTCTACTTCACCTCACCTTGACCCTCTTCCTGTTTCTTGATTCTGTCTTTCCACTTTGAGCTAAGACTTTGGGATTAGTCATGCTTTGTTTTTATTGGGTTTTTTTGTACCGGGGATCGAACTCAGGACCTTGCACTTTTGAGGCAGGTGGTGGAACCACTGAGCTAAATCTCCGGCCCTCGTCATGCTTTGTTTTTGGTACCAGGGACTGAACTCAGGACCTTGCACTTGTGAGGCAGGTGCCAGAACCACTGAGCTAAATCCCTGGCCCCATGCTTTTTAATTTTCTGTGATTTCAGGTAATCTGACAACGGGGACCTGCAAGAACTTCCAGGGCCAGCTCCTTCTGAAGAGGGAACAGCCAGCAAGGGCGTCTTCCCCAGGTGAGCCCAGTCACCAAGCTGTTACACAGGCTCATGTCCTGCCCGGTCCTCAGAGACCTGGGCTGGGGACCAGGCGACCAGTGACAGGTCCTGTACCCAGAGCCACTGGAGTTACCCGAGTGGCCCAGGCTTGCCCTGCCCGCCTGCCCTTTCTCACAAAAGCCACAGCAAACCCTCTTTATCCGTCTCCCCTGGCTCCCTCTGCTGCGTGGCCCAGCCTGGCGCTTCCCAGCGTGGCACTGTGTGATCCACCCAGCTTCTAGGGATGTGTGAGTGTGAAGACCGCCTCTGTGACCATCATTTACACACCCACGGGCCCTCCCACACTCGATGAAAACAAACGGAAGTGGCAAACCAGACACAAGCAGAGCTGGACATGGACTGGGAAGAGCAGTCACGTCCACGGTCTCCTGCATGCCGTCCTAGAAAGGGCCCCGTCCCCGCACGCCCTGCTGGCCCAGGGCTCCCACAGCCGAAGCAGCCCTGCTCTTGGGGACCTCCTCGCCTGTCTCATCTTTTGGTCTGATATAAGCTTTCTCAGTGACTTTCCCCATACAGCGAAAGAAGCAAGACTGGACCAAAGAGCACGAGAGCACGTGCCTGTGTCTCCTTCCATCCCCAGTCCCAGGAACGACAGAAAACAGATTTGTATGGCCAAGCCACCCACCCGCATCGCCCACACTGTAGTGCTCAGGGAATAATGTACCCCTGGATTAGCACCGGTACTTTTTCTTTGGTGGTGGTGGTTTTCGGATTGAACCTAGGGCTGTCACACTAAATTACAGCCCCAGCCCTTTACATTTTTTTCTTAGTTTGAGAAAGTTTCTCACTAAGTCACTAAATTGCCCCTGCTGGGCTTGAGCTTGCAGTTTTCCTTCCTCAGTCTCCTAGGGTGCTGAGATTACAGGCATGCACCACTATACCTGCTTTGGCCCTAGTTTTTGATAGAAAAAAGGTAAGTTTAAAGTTAAAGGATACCAGTAGAAAAATTGAATCATAATGGGGAATTCAGAATCACTAGTAGAGACATGTAATCTAGCAAAAATAAGAAAAATGAAATCAAGAACAAAAGAGCATGGTGAATATAAAACATAAAACAAAGTTAAGAGTAGATCTAAGTATACCAATAATCACAATAAGTAAAACTGGGCTTAAATATTCTCTAAAAAGTCTTTCAGATTGGGTTAAGAAAGACTTCTCAAATCCAAGAATATTCAGTTTGTGGAAGACCTTTCTAAGACAAAATATTATAGAAGAATTGCAAATAAAACATGAAACAGAATTGTACAATCTACACATGTATTAAAACACATTCTACCCTGTAAATATACTCTGCAATATTATTAGTCTATTAAAACAAAGGCCATGGTGAGGCCTTGGGTTTGGTTCCCAGGACCACAAAAATAAATGAATTAAGAAGTAATTAGCTAAAATACAAATTTTACACCAGGGATTGAACTCGGGTCCTTGCGCATGTGAGGCAGACGACAGAACCATTGAGGTAAATCCCCGGCCCTAAAATACAAATTTTAAAAGTGTGAAAAAGATAGTTTAGGCAAATGTTAATTAAAATGTAGATACTTGTTTGCATCAGATAAAATAGAATTCCAAGGGAAAACTTTCATGAGAGAAGAGTTTCACTTTTTTAATTGTAAAGGGTACAATTTATGGGGGAGTAATAATAATATTGTAAATCTTTATGCCCCTAACAACATAGCTCTGAAGCAGTAAAAGCACACGCAGATAGCCATACAGAGAAATGTGTGAGTCCACAATCATAGTGGAAGGTTTTATAAATCCATAGTTTTCAGATATTGAGACATAAATCAAAGGTTAACTGAGAATATGATGGTTTGACATATTTTACATATTTTACAAATTATTATGTTTCACATTTTTTTTTTTTTGGTACCAGGGCTTGAACTTGGGACCCTGCGCTTTCAAGGCAGGCGCCAGAACCACTGAGCTAAATCCCCGGCCTTTTTTACAAATCATTATATGTAGAATTTTATACCCTACAAAAAGAGATTATACTATTTTTATACACTAAAGGTGCACATTGAATAAAAATTGGTCACCAGGTCACAAAGAAAATCTCAATTCCAAAAATGCAGGATGATCATAATAGCAAAGTGACTGTAAAAGGAAAAAATCAATGCAACTGTGCATATAGTGATTTAAGAATGAATCCAACACTTAGAAACAGCTGCTCTGGGAACAGAATTGGAGATGAGCATGGTATTTTTGCATTTAGCTATATGTATCAGGTGTTTCCTTGAATTTTGAAAAAAATGTTGTGTAACTTAAAAAATCTTTAAATAACAGGCAGGCATAAAAAGTAATAAATGGGCCATTCCACGCTCCTAGGGCAGAGAAGCTTAGCTGGTCCCAGCACCCGGAAGGAAGCTCCCCCACCGCCATTCCACCCTCCTAGGGCAGAGAAGCTGAGCTGGTCCCAGCGCCTTGAAGGAAGCTCCCCTGCTGCCATCCCAAGCTCCTAGGGGAGAGAAGGTGAGCCACGAGGGCACCAGAAGCACCCCCCCCCCCGCCGTGGAAATGAGAAGACTCATAAACAAGCCTCAAAAACAGACTTCCAGATCACCTACAGCAACCCCAAAGGGAAATAAGATGGAACAATCTGATATTCAACCACCTGGACTCTCTGAACTGGCAACAAAGGAGGATCTGGGAAAAATGAAATCAGAAATAATTACTCAGATAACAGCAAAGATTGTGCTCACGGTGTAAGACATGATTAATAAATCTAGAGAGGACACAGATAAAAAAATAGAGGCTCTGAGGAACATGATGGAATCCCAACATAGGAAACAAATGGAATCCATAAAGCAGGTGCAAACAGATTTCCAGGAGATTAAAAACTCCATCGAAAGTCTGCGCAGCAGAATGAACCAATGTGAGGATAGAATTTCACATAGAGAAGATAAGATTGCAATTAGTGACCAGGAAAAGAAAAATTGCTTTAAAATTGTGAGGGAACAAGAGAAATCAATCCATCAGCTGCTAGATCATGCAAAGAAGAATAACAAAAGTAATAAATGAATATATAGAAACCTGTCATCTTCCAGTTCAAAAATACCCTAAAAATAATCGCAAAAATCAAGCTTATGCATAAAAGACAAAGCCTGGATATCTAGATACAAATATAGCCTCAAATGCACAGACTAGAAAATAATAAACAGAACACAAGAGAACTAAGCATTTAACTCATTTATTTGAAAAAGCCTTTTTTTTTTTGTACGAGAGATGGAACCTAGGTGTGCTTTACCACTGAGCTGGACCTTTATTTTTTTATTTTGATACAAGGTCTCACTAAATTGCCCAGGCTGGCCTTGAACTTGAGACCCTCCCGCCTCAGCCTTCCAAGTATCTGGTATTATAGGCATGCACCACCACATGCAGTTGAAAAGGGCTTTTTAAAATCCTCCAAAAGTTGGAGAGCCACCCTGGCCACCATCCTTGCCGTCTGAGGTCCCAACGCTACCTCAGGGCACCGAGGAGCAGCACAGCAGGGCACCAGGCGCACAAAGGCTCGCCTGAGACAGTCTGCTTGAGGACAGTGACCCCAAGGACTCATCCTTCACACTGAGACACATCATGGCCAAGCCAGACTCCATAGATGATGACAACCCAGAAACTGGCCAACCCTGTCAAGACGACCCGGAACCACCAGGATCTTCACAGGGAGCCCTTATGAATCACAAAAGGGGTCTTGCTCCTTGGAATAAACGAGAATTGCAGAAAGTGATGGAAAAGAGAAAAGGGGACCAAGTAACAAAGCAGAAGGAAGAGGAAGCACAAAAGAAATCTGAGTTGGAAATCGAACTGCTAAAGCGGCAGCAGAAGTTGCAGCACCTTGAACTTGAGAAGCAAAAACTGCAAGAAGAGCAAGAAAATACACCGGAGTTTGTGGAAGTGAAAGGCAATCTCAGGAGAACAGGTCAGGAGGCCTAGCCCAAGGCTGCCTGAGGCCCAGCATGTCCCCCTGTTGCCGTGAGAGATAGGTCTGGGTGCTTTTCGGCGCTGGTCCCAGGGACAGAGCCCGGAAGAGAATTCCAGCCAGCTCAGACGCTTGCCTAGAGAAGGGATTTGGTTTGGTTTTCCTGCAGTCTGGGTGAATAAATTGTCTATGACTGTTGCAGTTCCCATTCGCCAAACGAAGGACATTGACCAGCACTTAAGTTGGAGTAATGGACCTGTATTCAGAGATTTAAGCAGAACAAAACAACCAAGAAAAAGGAAGAGGACACTGGAATAAATTCTTGAGAGTCACACTACTCAGTTTTTCTTCCAATCCAAATTTCTTAGAGCACGGAGACATTTTCTTTGAAAAGCTGAAGAAAAGATGTTTAATTCTCGTGGTTATCTGTTAGATAACTTAGATTGCACAGAAATGCATTTAATCTGTTACATCCAATATTGGGAAATTTTATTTTGAGAATCTAAATTTTTCTTGCTGAATTTATACTTTCTCCCATGTTAGAATTAGCAGCAGGGAATGCTAACACTGATGTTGAGCACAGCCGTTACCTTGTTGGCACTGAACTCCAGAAACAGGGAAAGAAAGTTTAGGGATATGTGAGCCTCGTCTTCGTCCGTGTGTCTTGCTCCTCTGTGGGGCAGTGTGGGTGTGGTGGGGTTTGTCCCACACCCAGGAAGGGGCGGTGTGCAGGCTCGGTGTGCTTTGACAGCCAGTGGGGCGTCTCTGCAATTTCACTCTCAGACTGCTGAGCTGTCCTTCTGGGTGAAATGATTCCGCAGTCCTTTGGAAAGTGGACATAGTCTGCAGTTTCAGAAGTAGAGGGTCCAGAGGCTTTTACTCTGTCCAGGGACCAGTATAGGGGGACATTCCTGGGGAGCTTTAGGGCAAGATCTTACAGTGTTTGAACATTTTGATATCACTAGAATCCAAACTTTGCTAATTTCTGATTAATGGTCACATCTTTTTTTACTATTTTTCCTTGTGCAGAAAGACTTCTGCCATTCGCCCGGCCCAGTGCTGTTGAGAGAGTCGAGGTTGGTGACTACTGTATTATTGCATCTCTCAGGAAAGCCAAGGAGCAGTGCGGGCTGCTTCATCTTCCTCACGCTGGCTAATGTGCTCCTCAGAGAGACATTCAAGCTACAAGGGAGCCCAGTTCTCATGCGAAAGTCATTTTATAGTGCTAGTGTCATGTTGGTGGATTTAGTATGTTCTTCATAGAGGCGGCTCGGCCAGTGAATTTTACATTGAAGACTCCGCTTATACTTCCTCTCGTGATGACAGAGAGCTGGACCGGGGCTTTGGAGCCCTTTGTTAGCACAGTAGACATTAGCTTTCTGTGCGAGATTTTAGTTTTAGCAGTTGACAGGCCCGTATGCAATCCTAATGTGAACACCATAAGAGTAAGTGGAGGCTGGAGAAATGTGTTAGTTGATTACATCCGAAATGGATTATTTGTCTCATCAGCAAGTATTATTTGAATAAAATACAAGATGCTTAAGATAAAATACTGCTCTATAATAGTTTGCTTTCAAAGATCGGAGAGGTGACTCTCACCATTCCTTTGAGAGAAGAAGTGCGGTAACTGACGATCTTGAAAGAACATGTCTGATTGTGTGTTCATTCAGCACTCTTTCTGTGTGTATGTGGACTGATGATGTGGTTAGTAAAGTAGAAATTTGCCCTGGCTCAAATTGTTTTATCTAACTGGACGTAGATCTGTGTCCTTGGAGCAATTCTGCCCTTGACCAAATTCTCAAGGGCCCATCCAGGCTCCCTGACAAGGATGAATCCTATTCCTAGAACTTCTGTAGAATTCATTCATCACCAAGAAAAAGTTAATTTAAAAAAGCATCCTCTCCCGATCACAGACAAATCTGCAGAGTTATCTGTGGTTACTACTATAAGTCCAGGCAGAAGATGACTTGTAAACAGCGGGAGTGGGGGCTGTGCTAAACAGCAGAGGTGTGGCCAGTGAGGCTCTTGAGGTCTGATTGGCTGGATCACAGGATGGAGCTCGGAAGGGAGCAGTCTCCTCCACACTGCTGTCCTGTCCAGACCTGTGGGCTCAGGAACATCTGTGCGGTCCTGTGCTCTGAGCCACATTTTGGGGGACAAAAATGGCTCCATTTTTCCACTCTGTGGTTTTCTTAAAATAGTTGAGTGAATTATAGTCTGATAGTAAAGTAGAGTTGCTTTATAAGCTGTGAAGTTGACTTTATTCTCCTACTATGGGAAATCTTGCCTTGTCTGAGTGTATATAATATATATAAAGGGAGCCTTAATGGATTTATTTCATAATTTAATATCTTTTGCATTTGGTCTTGTATAATTGTTTTATTTATTTATTTATTGGTACCGGGGATCGAACTCGGGTCCTTGCACTTGCACAGCAGGCGGCCAAACCACTGAGCTAAATCCCCGGCCCTGTATAATTATTTTTAATGGAAAGTATTACAGAATTGAGGGTGGAATTCTTAGAACCAAAGTTATTCTTAATAAAAATCACCACAAGCTTGGAAAAATAAAATAAAATCCTCCAAAAATTAAAAGAGATGTCAGGGCCGGGGATTTAGCTCAGTGGTTCTGGTGCCTTCCTCTCAAGTGCAAGGTCCTGAGTTTGATCCCTGGTACAAAAAAAAAAAAAAAAAAAAAGATGTCAATCCACAGTAAAAGGTGCAAACATTGCAAAGAGATGAGACTACTATTTGCTGTTACTGTACTTATCCACTATAAACATCCTAGAGAATCAACTTCTGTGCAGTCAATAGGAATAAAACAATGTGACTTTCTTGGTTCCTGATTTGGGTAGAAGTTGGTCCCTGCTGTGGACGGGGGTGGTACACGAAGTCACATATAATGTTGGTGGAGATGGAAGCCGCTCCGTGCTTGAGGCCAGTCCAGCAGAACTGACCAGTTCCAAACTCACAAGCACCTGCGCTTGTCACTGTTTTGAGCGATCCTTTCACACATGCGGGAAGAAACTGGAACGTCTGCGGCATTGTTGTTGAGGCAGGCAGCGGCACCACTGAGCTAAATCCCCAGCCCCTGCAGCGTTGTTGAAATCCTGGGAAATTGGGAGCCATCCAGCTGCGAGAGTGCTTGCCCTCGCGGAACGCCCGTTATCATCTATTTAAACTGCGGAATATCGCACAGAGTTGAAAAGTGCCGACAGAGACCCTAAAACACACGTGGGAACCATCTGTGGGTGGGCGCAGCTGCCGGCGGCCCCCTGCCTAATCCGATGCTGTCCCCGTGTGGCTGCGCGAGCCAAATACGGCCCGTGCCTTTCTCACTCCCGGGTGACCGGCGGCCCCTGAGGCCTCGATGCCTGCTGTGGGTTTCCGGGTGACTTCTGCTGTCCCCGGTCCTCCTCCGCTGCCTTCGGCGTGGACTCCTGCAGCCCCAGAGCCGCAGACTCGACTAAGGGTCCCCAGAACTGTCAAGACGGGCGCCACCCGATGTCACTGAACCCCAGGGCCGACTCTAGGACCTACCTGTTCCCGCATGCTCACCTGTGACTCAACTCAGACCCCCTTTGATGAAGTCTCTTTCAGTAAAAGTTTCTGGAGGCCCACATTGCTGACAGACCCAACAAGGCCTCTGGTCGCATTGCCTTTCACTTCTTTTAGTTCGATCGAGCTAGGGCAAGCGGTCTTCTACCACTGAGACCTACCTCCTGCCGCCTGCTCATTTGTTTTGGAAGGTTTAGATTTACAGGACAATTGAGTAATTGAGCAGACAGATAGGACAAACAGTTCCCCAATGCCACTCCCCTGATCATTTCCCCTATCATTTTTTTTCTTTTTGAGACAGGGTCTCACTGTGTAGTTCAGGCTGGGCTTGCACCCACTGTGTACCCCAGGCTGGCCTCAAACTCACAGCAATCCTCCTGCCTCAGCCTCCAGAGTGCTGGAATTACAGGCATGTGCCACTATACGCAGCTCCCCCTATAATTTTTTTGCATTGTTTTATTTTGTTTTTGAGGCATTGGGGATTGAACACAGGACCTTGTTTGTGCTAGGGAAGCACTCTACCCCTGAGAAACACGCCCACCCTGTTACTTATTTATTTATTTGGGGGGGGGGCGGTGCTGGGGATTGAACTCAGGACCTTGCACTTGCAAGGCAGGCGCCGAAACCACTGAGCTAAATCCCTGGCCCCTTTGTTTATTTTTTTAGAGGGGTCTTGGTATGTTGCCCAGGCTGGCCTGGAACTCTGGGGGCAAACATCCTCTTGCCTCAACCTCCTGAGTACTTGGGACTCAGGCTGGCACCACTGTGCCTAGCCCTATAATTACCATCTTGCATCACGGTACATTTATGGGTCAATATTGACACATTATTATTAACTGAAGTTCACGGTGTATACTTTGGTTCACTGCTGGGTGTGGTGGCGCACACCTGTAATCTCAGCTGAAGGCTGGGGCAGGAGGATCACTGCAAGTTTGAGACCAGGCTGGGCTACATAGTGAGCTCAAGGGCAGCCTGAAGTACAGAGGGAGACCTTGTCTTAGAAAAAAGCATAGCAAAACCAAACCAAACATATATTTAGGTTTGTACTGTCTTACTCATGTTCTGTGAGTCTTGACAGATAGATGCACAGTGACATGTGGCCACCATTACAGTGGCGCAGAGTGGTTGCACTGCCCTAATACCCGCTGGGCGCCCCCTTCCTACTCCTCATTCTTGCTCTGCTGCCCCCATCAAAGCCCTGGCAACTGCTGACCCTCTTACTGTCGTCACAGTTGTGTGATATCCAGAGTCATAGCGTACTTCAGATGGGCTTCTTTTACTTAGCAATATGCACTCGAGTTTCGGCTTGTCTATTTAACTCTCTCTTAACCCCCCCCACCCCCATTCTTTCTGCAATGCTGGTGATTAAACTCAAGGCCTCATGCATGCCGGGCAAATGCTGTACCACTGAGCTGTACACCCAGCCCTTGCTTTTAAATTGTTTTATGTTGGGACAGTGTCTTGTTGAGTTGTGATCCTTCTGCCTCTGCCTGTGGGTAGTTGGGCCTCTATGTTTTTTCAGGGCTTGATAATTAATTCTATTTTTGTGTGTGGGCTGGATAACATTTTAATGTCAGGATGTGCTCTGGCTTATTTATCCATTTGCTTACTGAAGGACATCTGACTGCTTCTGGTTTTTGGTGATTATAAATAAACCTACTACAAACATCCATCTATAGTTTTTCTTTCTTTTTCTTCTGCTTCCCTCCATCCTTCCTTCCTTCCTTTCTCTCTTCCTTCCTTTTCTTTTCTTTTCTTTCTTTCTTTCTTTCTTTCTTTCTTTCTTTCTTTCTTTCTTTCTTTCTTTCTTTCTCTCTGTCTCTCGTTCTTCCTCCTTCCATCCTTCTTTCAGCTTCTCTTCTCTCTCTCTCCTTGCCTCCATTTCTCCCTCCTGTTATGGCTGTGTCCAGATGTCCCACCAAAAGCCTCATATGGCCGTAAATGGGGCTTTTTCAGAGGTGGCTGGATCTAGAGTGTGAGGCTGGGATTGATTCTTGGTGCAGTGCTAGGACCAAGGGTGCTAGCATTAAGGGTGTGAGTGCTGCCCATCCTAAGAAGTTTGGATAAGGTAAAAGGGGCAGGGAGATGCTGTTAAGGTGCTTGTTTCTTTTGCTACCTCCGCCTGCCATGAACTGTTTCTCCTCTGCAAGGCCCGTCTGCCATCCTGCCCTGCTTTGGACCCAGCCCATTATAGACTGACTTTACAAACTGTGAGCTAAATAAATCTTTCTCCCTTCAACTTTGGGTCTCCTGTTCTCATAGGAGAGCAGTCCCCTTTGGGTCCACTGCGAGAACTTTCCATGCTGCCCATGTGTTCCCAAAGTGCGCTAAGATTCATTACAGCTCTTACTCCAGGCCCTGTGAAAGTGCTAACGACTCTTTGAGATAAACCTCCAGGCCTTATCTCCTGTGGACTTGTCAACAGCCCCATCCATCTCGGGGAGAGGGCAGAAGTTGTATTCCCACTGGGGAAATGGGAGTAGTTAGATGAATGGCCTGGCTGCAAGACTGAGGTGGCAGAGCACTGGGACAGGCACTCAGGCCGTGGCTCTGCAAGGGTGGCCTCTCACTCCATAGCCCTGGGTGTCCTGCGAGGGAGGAAGCCACCCCTTCCTCCGGGTTCGCAGCGTGACCTGGAAGGCCATGCACACTCCCAGGCCCACATAGCCAAGCTGGGTTCTCTGTTACCGGGTGCAGGAGCTTGGTCTGTGTGCAGCTGGGACACGGGTTTTTACTAGGCCTGGTCAGTGGGCGGCAGAAATACCCAGCCGCGCTTTACCTTCCTGCCTGTCCCCTGTCTCCTTACCCAAGTCTGGCCGGCGGTGGCTCTGCCATCTGTTTCAGACCTTTCCCTCTCTCAGCCACCTCCCCTACATGGGTGGCGACAGCCAGAGTGACCTCTTGGTCAAGCAACTCTCCTGCCACTGCCTGTACCATGGACCCTGCACCTCATTTGCTTCCTGCCACCCACATTGGCCTTGTTCTGATCCTCCTACTCCCTGTGCCCATTCACACCACGGGCCTTTTGGACAGGCTGGGTTCTTCTGCGACAGT